TTACTAGTAGAAGTAGTTATCTAGTATTTTCGCCGTTTTTAAGCGCCGCGATGTTGGTTCATGACGTGTCTATATATAATACGTCATTGATAAAAATAGCCTATGTCATCCGGAGTGCATTCTATGCCTGTGCCAAATTTCGTCCAGATCCGTCCAGCCGTTTTGGCTTGATTGAGTAACAAACATCCAAACACAGTAATTTTCCACTCCCAAACCTTCTCGCATGACAAAAGGCAGTTGCTCAGCAGTAGGCTTATGACGACGATGGTATAAACGTCTAATTAACGGAACATATACTTAACTTAAACAACCGTAGCCAGTGGCGTAGCTAGGGGGGCAAGGGCCCTGGTGCATAGGGAGAGAATCGGGCTCTCCTCCCCTCTTTCCGCGCAGTTTGAACTTATTGATATGAGAATTAGAATAGGAAACAGTGGGTTCGCGACGTGATGATTTGGTAGAGAAGATTTTGATAGAGATGACGCGTCGTCTCTATCAAAATCTTCATGTGTTCAATGGAAGAAAAAGGGAGTAAATAAACAACGACGCACATAACCATATAGAATATTAATTAATTAAAAGAAAAAACGATTTTTAAGAGAATTCCCCGCCCGATTTACAATCTCTTGCGCGCTTTAATGTTTGCGAATTCGTCTATAATTTCACTCAATTCCAAGTTTGATGCCGCCTCATTTTCTATTGCAATCAACGATAAATATCGGAGGCGATCTTAGACAATGCTGTTTCTTAAATATTCTTTTAAAATTTTCAGTTTACTGAAAGATCTTTCTGCTACCGCGGAAGTAACAGAAATTGTGTGAAACAGTAGCATCGCTGTATACACTTCCGTACGGTCACATTTGAGCACGCCAAATTTCGTTATAATTTCTTTGCAAAGCTGGCGAATAGACCACGTCTCCATCAATTGAGGGAGGATCAGATGATATACATTAAGAAATTGGAGCGAAAAAGTGGGTCCAGTTATATCACAATATTTCTTCTGAAACTGATCACATTTTTGGAGTAAAATCGTTTCATTCCAGCTGAGCAGATTTTTTGGAATCAGGAAGATCAACTGGACCGTATTGTGACGTAGAAACGTAATACGTTTCTGAAAAGCTCCTGTTGTCTTGGTGGGGGTCCTTCGGAAAAGGTCCCAGAGGTTTTAAAGGTCCCTTGCCAAGAGTCAGACGTTTTTCGGTATCACTCAGTTTCTTGTTGATGTAATTTCCCAAGTCATTTGAAATTTCGAGAACTTTTGAAGATGTAGAAATTGATGATTCCTCTACCGCAGGTTGCACGGAAGCGTCGAGGTAGTAAATAATTGAATTTGAAAAAAAAAAACATTTTTTGATTTTTTTAAATTTTTCATTTTTTTTCAAAGCTGAGGCTAGAGGGCCCCCTGAGTTCGAGGGCCCTGGTGCACGGCACCACCTGGCCCTATGATAGCTACGCCACTGACCGTAGCTTTAGCATTATAGTAGCCAATTAGCTAACTAAGTATTTTTTCCTGTCTGCAAAGGAATCTATTCCTTAAAGTTTATTTTGCATGCAGTTCGCAAGTCTTTAAATTGCAATAGCCGTTATCTAGGTATTTTCCTTAACGCATACATATAAATACAGAAACAGGTATAAACTGACCTTGATATCTACGCAAGTGAGTTTTTGAGTTAAGTTTATTCAATTTTAATGAATTCATGTTTATAAATTCATAGGAATCGATAATAATCGCTGCCTATGTAAAAAATCCACAAAAAATTAAACCCCGAATGGTAGACAAATCTTGACAAATACGCAGTTCTGAAGGCAAAAATTCTTTTAGGAATATGAAGTAGTTACTGTACCTAGTTATTGTATAAATAAATTAGCGTCTGCGTGGATGTTGATTTTGCACGTTTGTTTTCAAACCTTCTCTGGACTTCCACGAATAATTCAAGACCAAAATCAGCCAAATCGGTTAAGGTATTGTTGAGTTATAACTTTACAACGAAAAGTGGCATTGATTTTTGTATACATAAATAAAACTGCGTCATTTGACGATGTGCATACGGCACCGACAATGAATATCCGAAACACCAAAGAATTTGCAAGTTATTGCCGGCCATTTGTGGGTATTTAGGGATTTGAGGATTGGGCACTCAGTGATGGGGTGGGGGAGGATTAAGCGTCCGGCAACGTAAGCATTGCAACAAGATACCCGCATAAAACAATAACAACGCGATGTTTTGCATCGGTATTATGTGGTATCCTTGTATCACTCCGGTCGAGCTGGTCCAATAGATTTGCCTTATAGGGATGATGACTTTTCATCATCATCATCATCAGCAGCAGTCTGATTCCGTCCACTGCTGGATGTCCTACCAAATGACACGCCACTAAGCTCGAAGTTCAGCTCTTCTCATCCAACATGCACACTGCTTTTATCATAATAAGTCTTTTAAAATTGAAACTCGGTAATTTAATCAAAGTTGTTTTTTGTTTTATAAAAAAACAAAACGTTGCCTCACACTATGGATTTTCTCCTGTTTCGTGGGTGTGGTTACAAACATACACTTTCTCATACACATTATTCCCAGACCCGTAACAACAATTTGCGGATCACACGAATGTGCGATCCGCACGTGCGTCTGCACGGCAACCAGTTGCCCAGCAACCGCACCAACCGTGCAGACTTCTTGATTTTGTACTCCACTATATATAATCTTTCTTCTCCTAGCATGAGCGTTGTGAATATTGTGATGATATTATGTAAGCGACATACAAACATCGTATGTATTGTTATCTTAGTTTAATATGACCTCTGATAAAAGGAGGTTTAACCGATAGTGGTTTTGGTGTAGAATTATAGATACTAAGTTGAACTTGGACTAAAATGTCAACTATTTGTACTTACCTAGTTACCTATCTAACCATCTACCAGACCATCTACCATCTTCACTAAGAGGACTGACAGACAGACTGACATATCTTCAAAATTTTGTTTGACGTTCAAAAGTGCCTGTAAGGGTCTAATTGGAATAAATGATTTTTGACTTTTAACTACCTGTTTGTTTATTTATTTACTTATCATTTGGAGGACCAACCACAACTTGACACTGGCAGTACCTATAGTCGACAACATTGGAGACTCGGTTGCCATTAAGGAAAAAAAACAATGATAACTTGACTTATGTAACATGCAGCCAATTGTATGTCCCCACTTTTAAACTACTGTATACATTATAGTTAGGTATACAGTATATATCTGTTCATGCATTGCATCTGCTCTTTTGCAAATATCACAATATAATCAATGTTTGTGTCGTTACAGTCGTAACACTTTTTTTCTAAATCAAACATAGGTATACCCAATGACGTATTATATATAGACACGTCATGAACCAACATCGCGGCGCTTAAAAACGGCGAAAATACTAGATAACTACTTCTACCAGTAAAGAAAGGGAAAGAAAATAAGACATCGTATCGTGGAATGCCTTTGCTAGAGGGAGATAAATATCATGCGCCGGCCGCCATAAGATGGCGGGCGCCGGCGTCGAAAAAAATAAAATAAAAATAGGTTGTTTGGTGAACTTACGCATGAAATGACACATTTTTGTCTTTAACTTTTGGAGTATAATTTGTACATCGTCTGAACACACACGACGACATGCTTTCTTTGTGTTTCGCACAGGTTTACACACGATATAAATTAAAAACAAACGTAGCGTCGCGCGGCAGGTTGGTGCGTAACTAAGCGCGATGTTGTCAATTGCCTTCATTTCATGTTGTCATTTTAGAGCGCGGACAACGTATCTATAGTTTTATACATCATTGGGTATACCCTGCCCTTTTTCAATTTAATGTTTTGTAGAAACTGCAGAAATATACGTAAACTTTATTTTTTATAATATTTTTAGATTGAAATTAAACGATGTAAGAAGCATTGTAATTCATAGGTACTCCTTTAAATTAGTTTAAACGTCGTCAATTTAGTTTTACTATCACATCATAATGACAAACGGAAATAAATAGGTATTTTTCTTCTCAATCTGATAGTGCTTAGCAGATAAAAAGATCATTAATCGATAACTAATTTTGATTGTCTTCGATAAATACAACATACTTAGAACAGGAAAAGTATCAAATTGATTAATCTTTGATTGAAATCTTGATACAATCTGTCATTAATTATTAAATTTTTGCCTCGTCAGTTGGTAGGTACAATCGGGCAAAAAATCAAAGTAGTAAGGTGCTTTTTCCAAAATAAAGAAAAAGCGATTAGAAACTTTAAAAGTATCGCGTCACTTATTCGAGAGTTGCTCGACTAGTTTCAAGTCACACCGGGACTCCTAATCATGAGCAGAGTGCTCTTTCTCTCACGTTAAAGGTTCTTGTGAACTGTAAACTGTATACATATTTCAATCGTTTTAGAAGGTCTTGACGATAATTATTACATAGAAACCAGTCTTGTTTATGTAGTTAGCAATCTAGGTACCGTACGTAAAGTGTACCTTACGTAAGTATATAATTTTCTATTTATGCCGACGTGGTCATTCCTGTATGTACTCTCGTCTAGTAGCCGATGCCAGTTCATTCAACTCTTCAAGTTGCACGACTTGTATGCAGTTTTACATGGTTGCACCTATTTGTGTACATAGCTATGAAGTTATAAATAGTTCTACATGTTCTGCGAGAACTCCGTTTGTAAGACTGAGATGTGATGAGATAGGACAGATTCTGGAATTTTTCATATCATAAAGAATTTTTTTCTGAAAAAAAAATTCGCAGTATTTTTTATATGTTTGGTTAAAATAGTACCTATACGGATCACAGGATGGTACCTATAGATATACACTTTCGATAGACATCCGCAACGCACCACCAGAAAAGTTAGCCTTTTGAAAAATTATGGATTAGGTGAGGATTTAGTTGGGTCTCCGGTATACGTCGACCAAAACATGACTGTCGATTATAAAAAACACCTTTTCTAAACAAATCCACTAACAGAAAACCTTTCCCAGAGCCTGGAGACCCTGGACAATGGCAAGCCTTACACCGCAGCTTACTACGGAGACGTGCAGATGGTCATCAACAACCTGCGTTACTACGCGGGATGGGCAGACAAGAGCCATGGACTGGTCCTACCTATGGACGGAAACTACTTCGCTTATACCCGCCATGAGCCTGTTGGTATGTGTTCAATTCTTCGTTTATTCTTAAGCTAGCGACCCCGCCCAGCTTGGCACGAATGCAGTGCTGATACTAAATTTCTCCACTATTTAATAAGTGTTATTTTACATAGAAACCTTCCTCTTTAACTACTTTCCTTATCTATTTAAAATAACGCATTAAGATCCGTTGCAAAGCATAGGTAGGTACAAAGATATATGGACAGAAAAAGCGACTTTGTGTTATACTATGTAACGATGATTAGGTAGCTAGCAGGTTAATCTACTTTGTTCTGTCAACCTTTTTCGTGGGATTTTAGGCATTACATCAAAATAATAAAGTTTAATATAAAGTTAAAAACTGCTTGAAATAAATAAGTTTACTATTAATGGACTATCGAATACAAACTTTTTTGTTTTCGAACGGTCCTTTTTGAAATTGGCGTATTCAATTAATAGATGTTATTTAATATCTTCAACGATTTAATATAAGAATAGATTTTGTTTACGGACGAAATTAACTGCACTTATCTATACATTTTATTCTATTACACTTAAAACATAGGTACATTACATTTTATCATCTCATCTGTAAAATTTAAACAGAAAAGCGGGCACTTGAAAAAGTTTAAAATCGACATCCACGTGGTCGGAGCCACGGACTTTTAGTAGTTTATTATACAAACATCGTGAAACTAATTGAAAATATATTATTATGTCAATTTCAAAAAAACAGTTCAATAATCCAAATCTATAATAAAATGAATACTCGTCGTAATGTTATTTCGCTCAGCCTCGACCGTGACCTTCATAAATATCTTTCTTCATTGCAAAGATAAACAACGCGCGTATTATGTCATTTTATGGAATAATACAACGTGACTTCGCAGATATCTATAGTTGGCAGTATCTACAGTTTTTAAACAGTTCGAAAATATGAAATGTATTATTTTAAAATTGTATAGGTGCACATTATTTTTTCCGAGTTATACCTACTTTTTATGATTATTTATACATCATTGACATACGGTGAAGGAAAACATCGTGAGGAAACCTGGTCTTATAATTTCTATTACAAGTTTTTGAAATCGCCAATTTGCATTGGGCTAAGCGTGGTAGGTAGTTAATACTCAAACCTTCTCCTTGTGAGAAGATGCCTTTGGTCAACAGTGGGCACTTATAGGCTGATTATGTGATACACATTACCAAGTCCAAGTAGTTTGACTCGTAACCTAATAATGTTTTAAAAGCCAATCGCTAACGCTTGATGTCAGCTTGCGAATCCTAGTAACCAATTCTAATTCCAATAATAGCCTGTTTGTATCATATTTATTCGCGTCACACCACAATCACGACAGTCAGTACATAGAACCAGGTCCACTTGGTGATAACATGTGTCTACACTCAGATCAATTAGTACCTATTCTTCCCTTTATTTTTTCTATTTGTACCTATAAGATAAAGAATCTTGATCTTGATTTTTGCAGATACACCCGGAAAAGGATCGTGAGATTATTTTTTGAATAAAAAATCAGCTACCCAACATAATGACTGAATTAGCATAGCAAAACTACCTACTAAGTACGAAAAAATTAACCGAAAATGCTACAAAAGCTAATATTTTTATTAGGTTTTTACATCGATCACTAATAAAGAACTAGATACACAATCAGTGGCAAAAAAATGTCCCAACTGAAAGTCCACCAAACTCAACATCGCGGTGTAGTTTTAGTTTAGTACCACTCGAATGCTCCGACGGTAAACAAGCCTCGGTGCTCGTTAAAAAACTGCAAAAACACACACATCTAAGATGCAAAAAAGGATGGAATTTCATATTTTCGTTAAGTAATAATATTATCATTATATAATTGTCATCATTCTATTTTAAATATTGATATTTTATTAAGAAATTAACTTTAAAACTTTTTCCAAATGAAATCGTATTCAAAAACCGGGGTTATAATGCACACAGTTTATAAAGACACTTATACTAAACGTAAAATCATTCTCTAGCATGACCACTTAAGTTGTTCGGTTTACGTGGATTGATTCTGTTCCGTTTAGCGGAGACGCTATTGTTCCTAATTTTATTTATTGTTTTTTTTTATTAAAAAATAGTTTTTATTTAATATTATAATTCTTTACTGTGTTTATTAAAATATGGAATAGGCAGATATAATGGATTTAATTTTAACTGCAGTAAAGACATTTTTTTTAGCTTTCATCAAAATCCCGTGCGATATGAAAAATTTACAACAATAACGCCAACATTTTCAGTACTTACTTTAGATATATATTCTTTTTATTATTTTACATCTTTTTTATTTGACTTCGAATAGAAAGGATTAAGGAGGACGAAAATAAAAAAAAAGAATTATAACTATATGCATTAGTTTCATTGGTAAATAAATGAACAAACCTATAGAAAAGAATACTATAAGTAATGCGTTTTAATTTGCGCATTTTATTTTTTTGATAAATTATAAAATACGAAAGAAATATATTTCTTACGAGACATTTCGACTCCAATCATTCTTTGTCCTAGCGGTGAGCCGAAGTCGTTAAATTTTATTGCTTATTTTTGACACTTTGTAAATTCGACTTAAAAACATGCGAATATGGTTCAATTTCTTATGATTTGTGTTTGTCAAGAGCTTCGGTCGCAAAAAGTATTAAGATTTTGTACATCACTTTGTAAAAACAACTCTATGAGTTGCATTTAAGGTTTAATTTACATTAATGCATTTTTATTTCAAGTATAAGTACCTAAATACAGTTGGCGACAGTTTTGAAGCGAACTTTTGTATGGGATTGTGTATCTAGTTCTTTATTAGTGATCGATGGGTTTTTATCAAAAATGTGATAATCAATCGATCAATTTCCATTTTTAAAATAAAATTTTATACACCTACCCTCATATTAACACGATAAGTTTGAACATCGAATCGAATAAGCAAACAATGATTTTGATAAGAAAATAGGTACGTAGCGTGAAGTAACTAATAATAGAAAAGAGCCGTATCATTTCAGATAATTCAATTTGCAGATCGATGTTATATGATTAGGTACCTACTTGTAAACTTTATTGTCATCTCATCACGTTGATGTTATTGATTTCTTTATAAACGTTTTGATTTGTCATTCTATTCACACGATCACGTATATTATCTAAGAAAGGTGGTGTGTAAATACTTAATTTTGTCATCAAAATGCTTATCTATAGATATGCCTATTGTACTTCTGCGGCTGTTGTTTTGTTTTTCTATAATGCTTGCAATCACAGACGCCAAGTGCGAAGTGTTTAGGTATTGATTGATTTTTACTGAAGCAAACTATGCATTTTTCATTTTCATTTATATACTTATGTATTATGGGTTTGATATTTTGTTATGTAGGTACTAGCTTCTACTAGTTGGTAAAAGCATTAATACAGGGTATAATACCCACATATCAAATTTTAACCAAATCGGTCCAACTGTTTTTGCGTGAAAGAATAACAAACTTACATCATTTATATTATTAGGATAAAATGTAAATATATACAATATACATATGTATACATGTATACTTATATATACGTATTTCTCTTAGTATTTAGTTATGTTCTGAAATAAAAAAATAATGAATTAAAACTGTATGAAATAGATACTGGAACCTAGCCGTTGACAATAGGCTTATTCTTCTGACAATTGAACTCCACAATCAATAGTTAGAGGAGGTTCGCTCACTAGTCATATGCGTACGATTGGACATACACTGGTACCAATTTCTGATCATATTATTTAATGGGAACCAGGTACAAGATTGATGGTCAATTTTAATTAAAATAAACAATATAGTAAAATAGATACATAGGTATTGGATGTCAAATACATGCCAATTAGCAATTTACGAATAGTATACATATACCATATACTGCGCAATTTTTGTGCTGGTTCATGTTTGTAGAAGCACAGCTATATTTTATTATAAATTCCTGACTGCTACCCACAACCCACCTTTTGCTAAGTATATCATATACATATTTATAGACCGTTTTATTTGGGGTTCGACCAAGCCCATAATAAGCAGACGGATCATCTGATAGTAAGCAGTCTGCCATGTACACCCGCATCATGAAAGGAGTTTCAAGTGTATTGCTAGCCTTTTGTGGGTTGTTAAATGTCTAAAGATTGGGGAATCTTTAGACATTTTACAAGCCACAAACTCCAACTCCTTTCATGATGCGGGTGCTTACTATCAGATGATCCGTCTACTCATTATGGGGTTAATTATAATTAAATATAATTTGGGGTTAGGGGATGGAGGGGGGGCAAGTATTGAGCTTGGGGCTACCTCACTAACTCACAAAACAAAGCATAGCCCTCATTAGAAGGGGTTTTGTTTGGGCATAATCTATTTTATAGAACGTTGGATGTTCAATCGGGGTTCTCGCCCAGGGTGAGGCGAGAGAGAGAGTGTTAGACTTTTACTTATTAAAAACCTCTCCCGTTCCTTTCCCTGCTCTAGGCCGAGGTCGCAGTGCCTTATTGCGTTTGCCCCGCAACCCAGACTTGATTTGTACTATGTAGTAATGTTTATTACTTTGTTCGTAGGTGTGTGCGGTCAGATAATTCCATGGAACTTCCCTCTGTTGATGGCGTCGTGGAAGCTCGGCCCCGCCCTGGCGGCAGGCTGCACTGTGGTCATGAAGCCCGCGGAACAGACTCCACTCACTGCACTCTACCTCGCACAACTTGTTAAGGCAAGGAATATAGTATTTGTCTTATAGAAATAGTGTTATAAAAACTTGATGATGGCTAAGATTATGTTTTGTCGCCATGACTTCGTGTAGTTCGAAATTCAAAAATTCAAAGTTAATCGTCCTTGCGTTGTATTCCGCAATGCTGAAGGTCGTGACCACACATCTATATCATTTTCTGTCGACCGATCTACCATATAATTGGGCAATTTCTTCATTCATACAAACTTTCAAAAACCATAAAAACTATATGAAAATAAAAATAAGAATGAAATTCGTGTAGGTATCCATCTATCTTTCCTTGCAATGTAATGATCGAAGTATTGAAGGACTCTCAGGTAGACGTTCAGATGACAGTTGTGAGATTTTAAATGTACGCAGTAATTAATAACCGATCTTAATTCAATCTTTATGATTTTTACGACAGAAACTACCGTCAAATTCGATTTTTATCATAATTTAACTTTAAAGGCTTTCTAAACATCAAAAAATGTTGGCCTGTCGAATCGATTGAGACAATTTCGTAGAATAAATATTTTGATTGTACCTATTTATTTTGTTTAATGATTGTTAACCATTCTATCATTATGTCAACAGGAGGCAGGATTCCCCGAGGGCGTGGTAAACATGTTGCCTGGATTCGGAGACGCGGGCGCAGCTCTCGTCGACCACCCTGATATCGACAAAATTGCCTTCACTGGTAAGTATAAGAAATTATTTTATTTTCATTGTACTTGTGAAGCTTTGGTCAGCAAGGACTTAAATATATGTATGTTTGCCAGACTTCGTGGCAAGGTAAATAATGAGACTGTAGATGGTTAAGGTCTGTTTATTACTTTAATTGCTGATGCTTATATACTAAGGAGATGCGTGAGATTTTCAGATTTAGCTATCCTAACAAACGTGCAACAATTAACATGTGTGTCTTATCTCTATCGTATCTAAGTAATGTAGCGACGTGATCGTGCCGCTACATATACTCCCCCCTTTTAAAAATAATTAACATATAAATTGAAAAAAATTAGTATGTACCTAATTATATAATAACTTAACCTTGCTGATAAATTACATCCTATGCGTAATGTAATGTCATTGTTGCTAATTCGAAGGAAATAAAAACTGCTGCCTTTGTTGTGACGGCGGCGGCAGTCGATGAACTATCCACTGCATTTGTGCTGATTGTTTCTGCTGATTGAAAATTTTAAATTCTTGTTATTACGAAGTCGTAATAATTCTTGGTCATCATGCTGACCTCTTGCTAAATCAGCATAATTAATCGGTGATGGCACATCAATTTATCCGTGACAATGCGTCTGCTACAATATTGTCACGTCCTTCTATATGTTGAATGTTGGTACAATATTGTGAAATAAAATCCAGTTGTCGTATTCGCCGTGGCGTATCATTAGATGACGGTTTTTTGGGAAAATGCGTAAGTCAAAGGTCGATGATCTGTAAAGATAGTAAATTCTCTTCCTTCGACTAACCTTTGAAAATGTTTGACTGCCATATATATTCCGAGCAACTCTCTGTCGAATGTCGAGTATTTTTGTTGAGTATCACTTAATTTCTTTGAAAAGAATCCTAATGGTTCCCAATTACGTCCTGACTTCTGCTGCAGAACTGCGCCAACACAGGTCGAACTGACGTCCGTCATAAGTGCCAAAGGGGCGGTGCGAGAGGGGTGAACTGTTAATACTGCGTTGATTATATTTTCCTTGGTCCTTTAGTGATAATATGATGCTTAATCTTGTGTTTTGGAGTAGTGTGGAGGGAGGCTGGTTTCGTAATATCCTCGTATTCATTTAATAGTTGAGTAATGCGTGGATTCGTCTCAATGTTAATAGTGCGGATTGTTTGCTGCGTCGATTTGATCAGGGTTGCGGGCGTTGTCAGCTCAGTTACCCTATCTATGAGTTTTCGACCAGCTATATCGACTAATAGCTTATAATGCTCTAAAAAAATCTGCTCCAATAATCGGTTGTGTTACATCGGCGATGACAAAGTTCCATACAAAGTTTCTTCGTAGCCCGAAGTTTAAAGAGAGTGTTTTTTCACCTTATGTCTTAATTTTTGTACCATTGGCGGCATAAAGTATACATTGTTCATCTTGTATTAGTGAATGTCTCTGTGGCTTGCTAATAACTGAAATATTTGCTCCCGTGTCAATCAAAAATCTCATACCACTTTTTCGGTCGGTAATAGTGAGGCGGTTGGACGGGTGAATAGCACAGAGTTCCGCCGTTGTCCGTGCTTCAATTAGTTTCCCTGTTTCCTTGAGTTGAGATCCTGTTTCCAATCACAAGGTTGAACACACTTTTGTGCATATTTTTTAAATCTTCCATGGTAAAAACAAAAGTGCCTTCTTTCTCTTGAACTCGACTGTGGTAGGAAATGCCGACGATTGGAATAACTTTGAGTGCTGCGTCGATAGTTTTTTTGACCTTGCTGAATTGCATTTAGTTCCAATTGCATTTCTGCTAACTGTGCTAGTATGCATGACATTGTATCGTCGCCAGATTTGTTTCCGTTTACAGCTGACACCTCTGTACGTGTTGAATTTATTAATATCTTGTCCGCGATCTGGCTCATCTTGTTCACATCTATGTCTTCTGTGACTGCTAGAACCGAAGTCACTGATGGTGGCAGAAGCCTCAACCATAGAAGTTTGATGGTTTCGTCGCTGATATTTCCGTTAGAAGATGTGATGGTTTCTGGTCGCCGAGATCCATTTCAGACAATAATTTTTGGAGCTGACGTTGGTCTGATTCCTCATAGCAACTGATTAGGCGTTCTTTGATAGCCTTGTACTTTTCTATTGGCGGTGGGCAAGTAATGAGGTCACTAACCTGTATTATTTCTTCTTTTGGCAGTTTTGCAATGACCGTATAGTACTTGTAATCGTCTCCTTGCTTCTGTGGTGCTACTATGGCTTCTAGTTGCTTAAACCATAATCTGGGTTGGTCCCTCCAAAATTCCGGTTCCGGCTGATATCTCCAAGGCTTCTTGTTGGCTGCTGCTTGATTTGCAGGGTGAATGAGTCATGTTGATTGTTCTTCGTCGGGTCACCAATTTGCCAGACTTCGTGGCAAGGTAAATAATGAGACTGTAGATGGTTAAGGTCTGTTTATTACTTTAATTGCTGATGCTTATATACTAAGGAGATGCGTGAGATTTTCAGATTTAGCTATCCTAACAAACGTGCAACAATTAACATGTGTGTCTTATCTCTATCGTATCTAAGTAATGTAGCGACGTGATCGTGCCGCTACATATGTATGTAAAGTTTATCGTCGATTTAGCATATTATAAATATGTACCTACATGTTACGTCCATAGGTAAGTACATAATATTGACATACAGATATATTTTTTATTAGGTACATGCATTCAAATGTAAATAAATTTTTAGAAACATACTTTGTACTAATATTTAGTTTTCTTCGCATTTCAAAGAATGGTTTATTTTCCGAAATGTCACGACCTAAAAGTAATATATCTAATAACACCGACCTCACTTGCCGCTCTAAGGAAGTTTGAATTAAGTTCAAAATGTAGGTACATAATATACCGCCCTCCTATTTTTATGAGACACAACCTTCAACCCGCCCCAGCTTCGCAGGGGTACAATATTAATGTATGATATTATACATATATAGTGTATAAACCTTCATCTACAGTCACTGTCACTCTAAGAAAAACCGCATCAAAATCCGTTGCGTAGTTTTAGAGATTTAAGCATACATAGGGATATAGGGACAAAGAAAGCGTCTATTTTATGAGGGGGAATGTCAGACTCTAACAGACACAAGCCCCAAGGCTTTTGGTGTTTCCTAACTTATATGTCGGTAGTATCAAAAATCAAAAATAAATAATTTAGACTTTTTATACACGTAATTTTTAAATTATAATCATACGTTTAATAATTGATTTGGCAATATACTTAGTTTAGATTTTTCTATTTGAATTTGTAAAAATAAGTATGCTGTTTGACGTAAAACCAATATGACGTTGATTGGGATCTCATACAAAATTCATAGAAAAGTATCGTTTTTAACATTTCAATGAAAGTAATGAATGAGTAATGACTAGTTGGAAAACACTGAATTATAACTTATAATATAGTAGGTTTATAATGATAATATTTTATCTTGTCTCCCCAGGGTCGACGGAAGTCGGCAAGTTGATCCAGCGTAACTCAGCGGGCACGGTGAAGCGCATCACGCTGGAGCTGGGCGGCAAGTCCCCGAACATAATATTCGCGGACACCGACCTCGAGCGCGCCGTCGAGGTCGCGCATTTCGCGCTCTTCTTCAACATGGGCCAGTGCTGCTGTGCTGGTATGTACGCCTACTTTACTATTTGACTAAAAAAAAGTCTGACCCCGGTTTCCAAAAGGCCGATCAATTTTAAAATCAATTTAATATTTTGTCAAGTCATCTGATTGGTTGACTGAATTATCAACAACGAATCAGACGACTTGACAAGAGATTTAACAGGCGATTAGTTAATTTTAGCATTGACAAGCCCATTAAAAACCGGGTGTTAGTATTTAGTCGATTTTTGTAAGGTTACTATTTACAACAGAAATATCTGATATTCATTTAGAGAATTTTCTTGCCTTCTTAAATTAACAAGTTGTGCTACTCTATGTTCTTTGTGGCAATAATAATTAATATTTTATTCTTTTTCCCCCCCCAATCAATTAACTTAATCTTTGATAGAAATATTGTTTGTACTAATTTATGCATTAAAAAAATGGCTAGTTCTAATTTCATTCTCAAGGACAAAATAGGTATTCAAAGTCTTTTTTCTTTGCGTTAACTTATGAATAGGTCAAAGTAAAAACAATGTCTTATTATAGAAAAATTTGCTGATTACAAAAACACGACAAAAATCAACAGAAATATTTGCGTTCAGGTTCCAGAACATTCGTAGAGGACAAGATTTACGACAAGTTCGTAGAGATGTCAGCGGAGCGCGCCAAGCGACGTGTGGTCGGAGACCCCTTCAAACCTGACACTGAACAGGGACCTCAGGTAAGGAGCACACACATCTATCCGAATACTAGCAGTCCGCCCTTGCTTCGCACAGGTCCAATTATCTCGCTAACAACGAAAGCGCCACTATTTCCCAATTTTTCTCTCTACTCTTCTAATATTTTCCCGTAAATAATAAATACAACAAAAAAATAATTTGCAAAACTGGTCCTGGCGTTGTTAAGTTATGCGCTTAGCAATACATTTTGCGAAAATATATTTTGAGATTATAAAGAGGTAATGTAGGGGGTAATCTTTAACCGCTGATTGGATTTCCAAAATTCCTTCATTGATAGATATGTACAACGTATCTGAGTGCTCTAGATAAGCTATATATTACCAAATAATACGTTTATGGTGCACCTCCTTTGTTTTATATTTATTAATTTCTTCTTGTATGATATAGCCATACTTTTAAATTGTTTTTGAATCCCAAAAATATAGTATGTAGTGCACATACTATATTTTTTTCAATATATTGCTAAGCGCACGTTTCAAAAACACGTTTTCCAGCTGCTAATAAGAGTAGTTTTAGTTATTAAACAAGGTTTACCTATTAAGCTTTAATATAGATAGCTTATTTTGCTTTTAGCATAAACCTATAACCATTTGATGTAAATTCACATGTAGATGCAATATATCACATTTCAGGACATATGACCAAGTACTTTTTTATTTCTTACCCAGATCGATGCAGAACAACAGAACCGTATCCTGAGCTTAATAGAGAGCGGTAAGAAGCAAGGCGCCAAGCTGGTCGCGGGCGGAGGCCGGGGCTCCGACACCGGGTACTTCGTCCAGCCTACCGTCTTCAGTGATGTAAAAGACCACATGGACATCGCTACCACTGAGGTAAGAAACAAATTTATGTTATGTTTTTTAAGGCCAAATTTGAGTAAAAAATACACATATTTAGACCCGGTTTCTGAAAGGCTTGTCAACGCTAAAATCAATAATCTTCTGTTAAATCTCTTGTCAAGTCATCTGATTGGTTATTGATAATTCAGTCAACCAATCAGATGACTTGACAAGAGATTAAATTGATTTTAACATTGATCGGCCTTTCAGAAACCAGGTACTAATGACTCAAAAATGAAAAAATGATCTTTGAACCTTACGAATGTTATTGTATTCCAGTTATTTAGAACTGACTAAATGATGTAACAAAGAAATGCATTGTGAAACTGATTGAAAAAGCATGGAGTCTTTTGCTCGTTCTTCTCCATAGGAACATACACTTTGAAATGAGCATTAGCTTAAAGCATAAAGTTAAACGTACCTATTAATTTTTTTCTTGACTTTCCAAAAGTGCCTTTTGTGGTATACTTGAAATAAATAATTGGATTTCAAAGTCAAACACAGGGTTTGTCCTTTTAGTTCACAATGGTTTATATGCAAAAATTATATGGCAAATATCACGTAGATTATCAAAACCCTTGAAAAATGCGAAACAAAAAATAATGACATCACATTGATAAGAAGAAGCTTTTTTTTCGCAGTATTTTGAAGATAAATACTGCGAAAAAAAAGCTATTCAATTCTTGACATACAAATATTGCTAATGAATTTATGACTTGTACTCCGATAATAATCCTCCATCCTCAATCCCTAATCCCCAAAATGAATGTTACGCACACATTTTTTTTTATTTATTAGGTCGGCAAACGTGCAGACGGATTACCTGATGGTAAGCAATCAGCGCCGCCCATTGACACTCGCAATGGAGGAGTTACGAGTGCGTTGCCGACCTTTTAGGGATTAGGGATTTGGAGATTTAGGGAATAAGGAGGGATTGGGCCTCCGGTAACCTCACTCACACGGCGAAACACAACGCTGTGTGAGTGTGTTGTTTCACGCCGGTCTTCTGTGAGGCCGTGGTATCACTCCGGTCGAGCCGACCCATTCGTGCCGAAGCATGGCTCTCCCACACATCCTATAGTGTTGCGAGTATGTATGCGCGGCACTGACCATTAAATGGTCCTCGTTTCCCGCCCTATGCTTCAACATAACTCATGTAATATAATTATGGGTACAGATCTTCGGTCCAGTACAGCAGATCCTGAAGTTCTCCCAGCTAGACGAGGTGGTTGAGCGTGCCAACAACTCGGACTATGGTCTGGCCGCCGCGGTCTTCACACAGGATATCGACAAGGCCAACTATGTTGTACAGGTATATCTTACATTTCATCATATAGAGATAAAGTCAAAGTTATATATTGGTATTAAGGCTTATTTATTGGCTTACATATAGGTAATAAGTACATAAGATATTATTAAGCATACATAATGAAAGTCAGCTATGTTTCGTTAATGTTTTAAAAATCTAAAACAATATAAGTACTTGTCCAGTCTATAGTCACCTTACATTTATGTTAACATTGTCTTTTGTCCATGATAGTACCATGGCTGCATAAGTTGGTGCTTGACCTAGTCACTTTAAAGATGAATTTGCTTTCTCCATATCATAAAGTATTTTTTCAAAATCTCCTAATATAGCGGTACCAGTGTTTCAAGCTACTCCCACTGTAATTCCAAAGAAAACAGTTTGGGCCTACAAGCTAGACATGTTAAATTGTTATGCATTGCCTCCCTTTATAAATATACGCGATTTCAGCAGTTACTTACAAGTTTTCAGACTCGTAGTTAGATATAATTTTCATAAAGTGTCTTGTTTATCTATTACCTTTGTAAATGTAACTCGATATAATTATCTTACTCATTTAATTACAGAGACTCCGTGCAGGCACAGTGTGGGTGAACGACTACAATGTACTTAGCAACCAAGTGCCGTTTGGCGGGTACAAGCAATCCGGTATCGGCCGCGAGAACGGCCCATACGGCATCAACAACTACACCGAAGTCAAGTCTGTCATCACTAAACTCAAAGAAAAGTCCTCATAAACGTAGAATTGTGTTTGTAAGGGTCAATAATTTTTTTTTTTTGTCGCATAGTCTAAGCAAGAATTACATAATTATAACGCGCTCATTGATAATAGAGAGTGTTATTGGCCTTGTATTACGGATGCAAGTACTGTGCCCGTATAAACTGATCCTAAGCCATTAGAACTGATTACTGTTAGGTCTTTTCCTATAAAACTGCTGTTGCGTCCAATGGCTTTCTTTATCTGTTATCTGGTGCTTTATCTGTTTCTATGTACTGTTTCACATTAGTGATGAAAATAATTTTTGCGAAGACAGCAAGTCTCTACACATAACTGTTTGAAAAAATTGAGGCCATATTACAAAAATACTCATTAAAATGCTATTTTGAATAGTAAATGTAATTACCGTTTATAAAAGATTTATTGTTGTTCATTTGGCTTCAATTATCGTAAATGAAAATGCTTAGCACAATTTTATTGAGGTGTAATAAATACTGCATTTTGTTCTATTTTATATTATGTTCTAAGGTGCGCGTTAATAATTTAATGTTCAAAGCACAATTAGAAGATGGATGGTTGAATTTTGCATCTATTTTGTGTTCGTGTAAATACATCCAGTCCAGTGATCTATAAAATGGAACCAATCAACAAAAACAATGTCTTCCAGTGTACATTTAATGTAATGTAATTATAAGCATATGTATTTTTCTGTTATCATTCTTTTATAGTGCCATGTATTGTTGCTTTTTTCTATTTTTACGTATATTTTTATAAAATAAAATTGCAATATTAAGTACAAAGTTTTATTTTTAACAGTTACATCTAAAATCAATCACACATTTGCGTAACAATAGCTTTTAAAATGGAAACTTTAGAAACCACATAACACTCCCTTATAAACCAACTTACATTTTAGAAAATCAAAGGATCATAGAAATATACCAATCGAGGCAACTAATTAACCTTTGGTGTATTTAATACAGTTAAAAATATAGAAACGAAGATTAAAATAACCTGATATATTATTAAAAGTGCTAACATTTTTGTATAACGAGGCAAAACCTTCATAAGGTGCAACTATTCTAGAAATCACACAGTGGAATGTATCGGTGCCACTTACACTAAATCACATAGCCTTGCACTATAATTACTAAAAACGACATAAAAAAAAATAGGGAAACATTAAAAAAACAAGAAAACCTAACGAAAATATCTTTGGGTTTTCTAAATGCGAGTACAAATTGGACGGATGAGTAACATAATTGTGATGATAATAATATCAGCGATTCAATTACGATTTACCAATAAAAGTGCAATACAAAAATTAACAACTTTGTACTTGTCAAATTGGACATTTCGAATACAGTTTCGGAGGATGCATACATCAACAACGTTTGGGGAGCCTGCGACTCATCATGCAGTATTGTAAATTTGTACTTATGGCTTCAACATTAGTGTTTACAACTAAACAAACTTTAATTCTGGATCAACAGAATTATTCAGTCCTTATCCTCGTTCAGACTGGCGAGGTTCTCTTCAGATATCTTAGCTAGGCAGCCGCACGTTAGTGTGCTCTTGTTACTGTTAGCGATGTCTTCCTCTATCTTCTTCTCCAGTAGCTCGAAGTCGTCGCCTTCCAGTTGGCACTTGATACACTCGTCGGACGAGGAGTCTTGGTAGCTCAGCACGTTCTCAATGTTCACCTCAACTTCATCCGACCTGTCGCAAGTAGCAAGGGAGGGGCTGCTGTTGCTTAGAACTCGAGATTCTATCGTTAGTTTCGGGACAAATACTTCTGATTTAGGTCGTATTTTGACATAATCTGGGGGTTTTTTGCGAGTGAGGTTCGGGGTTTGTGCGCGTTTCTCTTTGGGGAATATGCGCTGTATTCTTTCTTCGACGAGTGATATGCTTCGCTTGTAGACGACGGTGTCTTGCGGACAGTGGTCGCGAGTGCAGCCGTCGATGGCGTCCCGGGACTCGGTGTCGGAGTTATCACATCGGAAGTAGATGGTGTCGCAGCCATTCTCCTGCTTGACCTTGATAAGGCAGCAGTCGTCTTCTTTCTCGCAGAGTATCTCGTGCAGCGAGCCGTGTAGCGGAATCAGTTTCACCTTACCGCCAAAGTTGTCCTGCATTGTTGATAGGTCGTCATCTATGTATAAGTCCTCAGTACTTTTAGCTTCCTGTCGACAAAAAGTAGAATGTTAATATAATATCAGAACTCACAAATCACACGATAATGTAGCAATAATGTAAACATTCTCACCTGTAAAGCATTGAAAGCCTGGCACCTCTTTAGAGCGTTGACATGAATTTCGTCAGTGAGCGTGTCGTCTAAGGACTGGTTCATTTTGTCCTTAATGCTGACATTATTGTTGGCTGGGTCGCAGATAGTAACGTTCACACAATTATCCAATACTTGTAGACTATTTTCTCCCGATCGCGTGAAGGTAATCTGCAGTAGAGGTTTGTTATTCCCATTGATTTTGACACGAGAGAACGACCTCATCGGCTCTTTCTTTGACTTTATATCTTCATTACTATTTAAAGATTCGATGATGTTGGCGACTCCTTTGTTCAAAATATCTTCGCTTTTTGATATCGTTACGGTGCCCGTGGACGTGTCATCGGTTATTTCTTGCAGTAAGTGTTGAAACTCTTTCCGTATCATGTCCCTGATGAAGTCCTCGATGCTTTTAGTGTCTGTTGATTGGTCGACTTTCGGTGCCGATTTTTGGCTTTCGGCTATAGTCCTGTAAAAGATATTATAAACTTTAAATACTGAAACTACAAAAAGTTAAATATCAAAGTTCTAAAAAAGGCAAAAGTCAACATCACGCGGTGTTCCCAGGCGGTTCCCATCCAAGTACTGACCACGCTCAATGTTGCTTAACTTCGGTGATCGGACGAGAACCGGTGTTTTCAACATGGTATGGACGTTGACGCCCGTTCAGTCGTATTTTAAGTTCAGTTTAGCCGAAGCATGGCTCTGCCACATCCAAGGGGATACTTCGGCACGAATAGGTCGGCTCGATCGAAGTGATACCAAGGCCTCACAGAAAACCGGCGTGAAACAACCACAGCGTTGTGTTTCGCCGTGTGAGTGAGGTTACCGGAGGCCCAATCCTTCCCCTCCCTCAATTCCTAAATCTCCAAATCCCTAATCCCTAAAAGGTCGGCAACGCACTCGTAACTCCTCCGTTGCGGGTGTCCATGGGCGGCGCTGATTGCTTACCATCAGGTAATCCGTCTGCTCGTTTGCAGACTTATTACATTAAAAAAAAAGTGATATCATGGCCTCACAGAAAACCGGCGTGGAACAACCGTAGCATTGTATTTCGCCGTGTCAGTGAGGTTACCGGAGGCCCAATACTTCCTCTCCCCAAATTCCTAATCCACAAAAGTCGGCAATGCACTCGAAATTCCTCTCGTTGTTGGAGGTGTCCATGTGTAACGCTGATTGCTTACCATCAGGTAACCCATCCGCTCTATTGCAGTCCTATCGTCACAATTACTTGAAATATGTTATTGATTTTCAACTGAGGAACATAGACAATTTTTTTCGTGGGATACTGGACACTTTATGCATTAGGTATTTCTTTTGTAGATATTGTTTTAAAACCATCATTTTTCCATATCTAAAACGTTTTTTTATTTTAACATTTTTTATAAGGACCGAAAATTTTATCGATGAAGTTAATACCCTACATTTATGCAAAAATAATAACTAGTTTTGTTTACAGAAACAAAATATTTTAACACTTAAGAGATACAATGAATATAAAAATAAATGAGATAAAAATTAATTAATTTTCCCTTGTGGATCTTAAATAGCAAAAAGCTAACGTCACGTGGTGTTCCCAGGCGGTCACCCATCCAAGTACTGACCACGCCCGATGTTGCTTAACTTCGGTGATCAGACGAGAACCGGTGTTTTCAACATGGTATGGACGTTGGCATGCGCCTGGCCGTATTTTATGTTCACTAACATCTTTATGACGTCATCATATTTTAGCGTAAAATGTTATAAGTATTTTTTTTTCATTACCGTATCCGTATAGCATTCGGCTGTGACTAGGTCAAACAGATAAAGTGCACACAATTTTTTTACTGTCAGAAGTGTAGAGAAAGATGAGGAACGAAGATGCTTCTTTTTAACATAGTATGGAAAATAACAAGATAATATGCCGCAACGTATTGTGTCTTATACAAGGATTACAAGATACAGATAAGGGAATAAGGATGGAGCAGTTGTAAAATGCATGAAATTAAGCTAATGTAAACGGTTGAACTTACTCCTTATCCTCGACCCGGCGATGTGGAAGTTCAGGGCTGCGGTTAAAGTTGACACTCCTTGCAATCGTTTCCCGTGCCTGACAAAACTGATCCCATTGGTTGCCTGCAAAAGTAAAAATGCATGTTATATTATGATTAGTTTTTTAATTACTTAACATAATTAAAATAAAAAAAGGAATATTACAAAATATATAAAGATCCGGTTATAATACTTATTTTTATATATAACTTCGATTTTAGTTTGCGTATAAAATAAAAAAGCAATGAGCAGGTAGATTACTTACTTCAGGTATAGGATTAGTGTTAGTTATAGCTAAAAATGCGTTTGCAATGGGTTGAATTATTTCTTAAATCAAATCATAAGTTAGTTTAGTTTAGAAATAAAATAATATATTTTATTAGTATTATTACCAACACCGCACACATGGTGAATTTATAGTGAACAATATTAATTATATAACCTTAAATTGTTATTGATGCATTTAAGACGGTATTTAAAGTAAAAGAAAATAATAAATTTTCTTTCTCTGTTTTTCCTTATAGTCTCTTACTTCCTTATAGTAATATTAGCATGTATTATCCTTATATTTATCGTGTAACATTTGTGACAAAAACTGATTAGATAATCATATCTATGATTATATATCAATGCAATTTTAGTTATATCAGTAAAAATTCAAGTTACAAATAAAATAGTTTCCATTTTAGTCAAATTCAATTTTTTTTGTAGAACATCAAAAAATACAGTTTTCTATGAAATCGTATGTTTAGGCACCATAATTGTTTAACTAGCGTAACGTAAAATTTATGAATTAAAGTGATTATTTTTAAATATTGTTATGGTTTAATAAGTCAAAACAATTTATTTTTAGACAGAGGAAACTACTCAATTGATTGAGAATATAGTCCAAGTAGAACGAAACAATATGTATAAAAGCAGAACTTTACAATAGTTCCCAAGTTAATCCGTATTTTAGATAAAACATGGTCTATCTGTGATATACACATTTAGCTTGCGTTGTTTAATTACATTACTCAAATCAAATAAAATAACAATGCATTTAACCAATTGAATTAATCATGGAATTATAAACTGCTTTGTAATACAATATTACCTGAATACAAGGTTATATACTATATTTTTAATCCCGTAACCAGTCAAAAAGTATTATTAACATGTGACTGACCATTTTTTCCGTTGATGGGTGACGCTGGCCGTGTCCTGAATATTTTAGTTCCCGATTTCTTTACGTGTAGTTGAGGTAGGGATTTCTGTAGCGTGTCCACGCAGTGAGACGCCGGTTTTACAGCTGCTATTTGGCTCCTGAAATTGAAGTAAACATTGTTTTGATAAATAGTCATTTATTTACATGGCGGCGCCGATTGCTTACCATCAGCTGATATGCATCTGCTTGTTTTCCACTTATTACATAAACAGTCATAAATGCATGAATTTATCACTTTAGGTTGAATGTTTTAAAGAGCAGTACCAGCCTGCTTTTATATCTAATAATATAGAAAAATAATTATTTTTGAGGAAATAGAACCGAAAACGGCAAAAAGCTAACGTCACGTGGTGTTCCCAGGCGGTCACCCATCCAAGTACTGACCACGCCCGATGTTGCTTAACTTCGGTGATCGGACGAGAACCGGTGTTTTCAACATGGTATGGACGTTGGCGAACGACTAATGCAAATAGCCCATACGTATCCACGCTAACATGACGTCACAATATAAGTTACCTGTTATCTTCAGGCAAAGACATGGATCGGCAGGTTTTTCTATTCGCTTCGTATATCCACTTCTCATGTATCGCAACCAATGGTTTGACATTCACGTTGGCAAGGATTTCATCTTCAACTTTATATTTGGTTAGAGCGTTTTTATCTTGGCTGGACTTCAAAGAGCAGGAGCTCATCCGATCTCTTACGTCATCACACTCAGGCGAGAAATCTGGAGGTGGATTTACCCTGGAAAATAAAAATATAATTGTGCTTGCTTCAAAAACTTAATTCATTTGAAGTGGGTAAAAATATGTAACCGCGCCATCTATCGCATTTGTATAGCGTTCAATCAAAACTTGGCTAGCTGTACAGACTCTAGTTCTTATTCTCAACTTCTCAGTAACGAAGATCAATGAGATGGTAAGATGAATATTACTGAATATTGTTAAACTATATTTATAAAAAAAATATCTGAGTGAGTTAGTTAATTGTGGAGTTAGCAATGGGATATGTTTTTTTTTTAATCCAGCTTATCTTCGCATGAAAATTTGTTTTAAGAAACAGATGTAATGTGTAGGTAAGTTAAGATTAGTACTTAATGATTGCTATACAATATGAGAACATACACCGATTAAACTCAAATATGTATTTCTATACGATGTTATGATGTTTACCAAATAGCTATAATAATACAATTAATCATTGAATTTCCATAACAAAAATATATTATCGTGATTTTATTATGATGACGTCTTCGAATTCATCAAACATTATTTTACGTCACTAGGCAATCCAAAACAGTTGGTATATTTAAATGCGCCAATCGCCAACGTCCATACCATGTTGAAAACACCGGTTCTCGTCCGATCACCGAAGTTAAGCAACATCGGGCGTGGTCAGTACTTGGATGGGTGACCGCCTGGGAACACCACGTGACGTTAGCTTTTTTCTTTTTTCATTTGTTTTTCGAACCTAGTTTTACATTACACGTACACATTATTTAATTAAAACATTTAAACCCTAACTTGGATAAGTGTGGTTTTAATTCCTAGGCGAGTGCCGCCGGCAGCGCTCAAGCATCTATTGTCTTACTATTGTTTCTCGAATTAACGATCGATAATATCGATTGAAACGTTGGATCAAGTTTAGTAAAACTCTAGCCAAAATGAACATTGCTATGGATAACGAGCAGGAAACTACATGTACATATTCCTTTTCAATCGGCTTTACAATTTAATAATTAATACATTATACAGTTGGTTAAATCTTGTTATAACGGTGTAACACTAATATTCCGCTGAATTCACAGAATTATATTCAAGGACAATAAAACCTAGGTAACTAACGTATTGTGTGAGATGAATAGAATAGTGAAGTATCGCACATTCACCTGAAAGTACTAATGAATCACATAAAATAATGTTTATATTAATTATTTTTCATAATTCTTGGCAATGGCAGCCGTTCACGATTTTAGGTACCGCCAATGCGACCTCTTGAGTCTAGACTATTTGTTTTTGACAATTTTTTTCGGCTAATTTTCTTACTTGATGTTCATATGCAGCTAATAATCAGATAAATGTTATCTGAGGAATAAAATTGTCGCTGTCACTGTCTTATACAAACATTCTGATGCGACAGCATCATAATTATTCCTCAGTTAACATTTATCTTAACTGAACTTTTATCTTATTTTCCGTATGAGAAGAGGCCTTTGCACAGCAGTGGGCACATATAGGCTGATGATGATGATGATAACTTTTATTTAAACATTGAAAAATCAGCCCTTAATCCGTACTAATATTATAAGCTGGAGAGTTTGTTTGTTTGAACACATGTTTGTTAGTATATTTATCGAGGAAGACTTTAAGCTATAAAACTTCGATTTGTAGGAGCCAAGCCAGCGAGTGAAACCGCGCGAAAGAAGCTAGTTCTTAATATTTACACAAGCAAATAAACTGCAATCCATTTTCTTTATTAAAAAAATGGCAAAAAGCTAACGTCACGTGGTGTTCCCAGGCAGTCACCCATCCAAGTACTGACCACGCCCGATGTTGCTTAACTTCGGTGATCGGACGAGAACCGGTGTTTTCAACATGGTATGGACGTTGGCGAGTGTTGCAGCAAAATTCGTCATCTCGAAATACTCGATAAGATTAACAATATCTATCATTATTAGTACCTAAATCATTTGATAAACAATAGTAAACCATCTATGTAGGTTACAGGACGATCAGTAGACTAAAGCAACCTATTATATTACGCAAATCTGTTAATCAATATTAGATTTGAACTCTATCTGTTACTGAAGTACAGAGCACTATCAACCTTAGCAACTTAAACATTAAGTCAACAATGAATCGAAGATATTAAAACTTAAAGATTAATTTATGTTCTCGTTACCTCCGTAGTCCAGTAAAAACGTCCCGAATAGCATCGGTACCTTCGGGGGAGCTATTCACTGGAGTTATTGGTTCAGGCTGATGTATTTTCTCTGCGCTATTTCTTCGGTTCTCAGCAGACATGTTCGTAGGAGTAGCGGAACTCTCGAGCGATGAGGTCGTTAAATTTTTATGTTCTACAAAATACAGAATTTATGAAAGTTGTGTGCTGAAAGAAGTATTAATGTAGATACAGTTTGCAAAGGCATTTGGTACATTGCCACACAGACACAACAATAAAGACTGATTCAGTTCAGTAAAAGTTACCATATTTGGTTACTGAGTGAACCATTGTTTACAAGACAAGGCTTCAATAAAAACCATATAATTTTGTGTAATAATATCTGATGTCTCAGATTGAGTAAATTTATTTACTTACATCTATACTAATCTATACTAATATTATAAAGAGGTAAAATTTGTAAGTTTGTATCTTTGGGACCGCTGGTCCGATTGCCAAAATTCTTTCACTTATAGATAGCTACAATGTTCCTGAGTGCCATAGGCTATAAAACGTCACGCTACGATCAAATAGAGCCGAGCAGCGGGTGAAACCGCGTGAGTAGCTAGTACAAAATTATTGTACAGACTCCACTTTTGTATTATGAACCTTGGTCAAATAATTAGTACAGGAATATCTTTTGTTTGGAACAAAACTAAATAAGTTAGGAGTACCATAAAAATACAAATAAAAAGTGTTTAAGACAAGCTTACCTTCTTTTTCCGGCGTGACGCAATTTTCGGTTTCTTTAGGTTTATCATTGCTTCTGTCCGCAGCACCCAATTCTCCCGACAGCCAAGCATTCTTCCTAAGCTTATTACTCCTAGCAATAGGAGTACTAGGCAAACTATAGTTCCTTATATCAAAATTATAGGAAGACTGCTCAGAACTATTCCGATCCTTCAGAAGTGGTTTGATTGAGTCTAAATTGACATCAGGAACTTTTATATGAAGTGGTTTGTAGGACTTTGGTGTGAAACTTTTACTTAATTTTGTGTGAGGACGTTCATTGCTTAGTTCTTTAGTACTGTCATCATTTGTAAAATTAATAGTACGGTTTGGACTGAAAATACTGCAGTATTCAGTAGAATCGCTCCTGTGTAGAGTGCCTGGGGTACCTAGATCTTTCATTCTCGCTTTAATTTTTGCTATAGGAGTGGAGCAAGCACTAGAGTATTCTTTTTCTGGTAAATGTTCATATCTTACTAAGGAGGCGTGGTCGTTTTGGTCGTCATCCGAAATAAAGCATTTCTCGGCTTGGGCCACAGATTTAGCGTGGGACTTCCTTATAGTTTCGTATAAAGGGCTCCCGTCGCTTTTGCTACAGTCTTTCTCGCTTTCGGTGGAACTTTCTCGAGCGTTGTGTACAACAGCTTGGTGTTGTATATTCTGTGGACTCAAGCATTCCGAGTCTGTTGGCGAAGTTGTGTCCCAAGCAGTTGAACTAAATGTGGATCGTTTCGTGGGTAGCCGAGCCGGGATTATAATATAGCCAAGTTCGTCAATATTGCGCTGGAAGAAGAACACAAATAAAGGTTAACTATCGGAAATTGATTATTATCTTAAAAAAAGCAATGTAAGGTAATGTAAAAAAATTCATATATCGGCAAAAAGCTAACGTCACGTGGTGTTCCCAGGCGGTCACCCATCCAAGTACTGACCACGCCCGATGTTGCTTAACTTCGGTGATCGGACGAGAACCGGTGTTTTCAACATGGTATGGATGTTGGCATGCGATTAGCCGTATTTTATATTTTCATGACTTGATAATTTTTGATTGGAATAAAATATATAATAGATACATATTTTATATACCTATATTTATACAGATTATACAATACTGTATTGTATGCCATGTATATGTATATACTTTTAAATTGGAAAGCAGGTTTCATAAGTTTATTCAGTATGATACTCAAATATTTATTTCGAGTCTTGGTGTATTAAGAGCGGACTGATTATCGGCGCCGCCCATAGTCGCCCGCAACACCTGAATAGTTACGAGTGCTTTACCAGCCAGCCTTTGGCGATTAGGCTTATCGAAATTTAGGGATTGGGGAAGGGGAGAAGGATTGGACCTCCGGTAACCTCACTCTTACGGCGAAATACAAGTCAGTGTTTATTTCACGCCAGTTTTCTTGGAGGCCGTGGTTTCACTCAGGTCAAGCTAACCCATTTGTGCCGAAGTTCTTCGCACTTCGTTCAGAAGTCTCTCGCACTTAAATACACAGACACTGTGAATAATCTGCTCTGTGCATTTCAAATTCTTTTTGCAGGATTATAACAGGTCAGAATGCTTAGAACATACAAAAGAAGAAAACCCTGTTGGATCTAGTTTATTAGCTACTAAACTTCCCGTAAAAGCTAGTATAATTCAACAGTAGTACAGTATAATTCAAATCCTTTCTGAGGATATTGTAGATGTCCATGAGGAAACTATTAGCTTAACCTCAGGTGATCAGCACACTCCTTCCCCAAAAACATCCCTTCAACCTACCTTGACATTTTGTAGTGTACTCTGCAACACTGTTAGATCCATTCTCTCATTTCTCTGGAGTGCCAGCCCAGACTGCAGCAGGGAAAGTAAGCAACCAGGGTATGTTCCATCTGTTGGCAGTGGTATACCTGTCTTCCATAACGTGTATTGTTCCTTCAACTTTTCATAGGAAAGATTCTTCCATGGCATTGCCGCTAAAGAAAAAAGAAATAATAATATCAACTTGAGAAGACAAAACTAGTTTGCAAAAAGAGCTTTATTTTTTGAAACAGTCGGTTTAAATTGAATAAAAAGCAAAAAGTCAACGTCACGTGGTGTTCCCAGGCGGTCACCCATCCAAGTACTGACCACGCCCGATGTTGCTTAACTTCGGTGATCGGACGAGAACCGGTGTTTTCAACATGGTATGGACGTTGACGATGGTGGGTCACCAAAATTAGATGACTATCATTTGATAAGCTTTTTAGCCACCTTTATTAGTGCAGAAGTTTTTGTTAGTAGACTATTTTGTTTTGATGGTTGGCTAAATGACTGGGCAACCAGCTGCAAAATGTTTCCAGTTTGCTTCCCGCACGGAACAACTGTCTGTGATCCACAAATTGTTGTTTCGGGTCTAGGTGTGATGTGTATGCGAAATCGTGTGTTTGTAAACGCATCCACGACGCAGTAGTGAACATACAGTAGATAGATACCCATGAAAAATCCTAGTATGGAGGCAATTTTTTTTAAAGACACTTTGAACATTCATTTGTCTTTCAAAAAATCCTATCTCGAACAGTAATTGAAATGTTATTGAATACGAGTAAATAGTTCCTACTTCATAGTACTGAACGAAATGAGTTCACACAGAGGAAACTGCCAAAGAAACAACAATATTTAAGTGTTCCACAGATAATTCCAATGCAAATTCACACTTATTGACAAAAACATAAAGTACCTACTTACCATTACAACTCTCCCACAGAATAAGACAAAGTGTATACACATCGCTTTTCGAACATGGATATACTAATCCCTCTTCGCTGGGCAAAAACAATTCTGGCGCATGCCACCTGTATTTCTCAGAGTTTTCGTAAAATTTATATTCTTTGGCTACCGCGTTAGATGTAATATAAGTCTCTGAAGGATGCGCCGATATCAAAGGCTGGAACTCCACTACATCTGATTGGCGAGAATCTAGAAAAATTAAATAGAAAAATATGATAAAAATTTAGAAAAAAAAAAATTATCGACGTTGGCGGCCGTGGCTGTAGCTTATTTTGGCATTCAGAACACAAAATAGTGTGATCAATATTCTCATTACAGCGTAGTCTAAAACTGTTTAACACAAAACAGATTACTGATTGTATATCTGTTGAGTTAGTTGTAATACTAATTAGAAAATGTTTAGAAATGGACCCAGTAAATAATTAATAAAACCAGTAAACCATTAAAAATATCAATTTTCGTACAGCGTTTGCCAGCATCCATACCATACCATATTGAAAACATCTAAATCCAAAATTATTATTAAATCAAAATACACAATTTTCTTAAAAATAAATTAAAATTGGTTGTTTTTTTTTTAATTTCTTTTTCTATTTCTTGGAAAAAAGCAAAAAGCTAACGTCACGTGGTGTTCCCAGGCGGTCACCCATCCAAGTACTGACCACGCCCGATGTTGCTTAACTTCGGTGATCGGACGAGAACCGGTGTTTTCAACATGGTATGGACGTTGGCGATAGTGTAGCAGAATTTAAGGTTTAGTTTGAAGTTTCAAGTTTAATAACTGTAACTATTCCAAATATAGACTTTATTTAATACAGCACAAAGACTATTGTTGCAAAGTTGTTCGTAAAAGATAAAATGATCAAGATCGCAATTTATATAAGTACTGTGGTTTTATCTTTTAAACTATGATTTATACATGTAGGTGCTACTGACTACATTCTAAACAAATATTTTAAAATAATATAAATAAGAATCATTAAACTAATACTTGAAAACTCGATATTATCATAACTGATAGTTTCTAATAAACGAAGTGCCTTTAAGCATCCAAAAATAAATATTTTTGACACCTGCAATGCTTGAACATATTACCTACTGTCAATACAAATTGTAGTAATTTTTAATAGATTTAAAATTTTAGCTTATTTCTGTGCGTTTAATGCATTTTCCAAGAAATAAAATTGTCTAAGACAATGTTCTGTACTTATTACAGTCATTATAATTTATTTAATTGTACGGAACTCGTCAACGAACGTCGTATACACAGATAATTATGATTACAAAATGAGTTGTTCTGTTTTACTTATTTTTGCTTGTATAGAGTAGAGACAGAGAATTATATGTGCATTTGAACTTCCTGAAGTATTAAAATGCCACCCGCACTAAGCTAAAAAATTCTAGCCTATAATATGCGTTATTCAATTCTAGAGACCAGATTATCTATCTACTGTTAATTTATTCACGTCAGTTAAATTCGTGTTTGAGTGAAGTTACAAACAAACCATCGCTTTCTCAGTCTGGAAGTCTGTGAAGGTCTAAGAATACCTACATAGGCTAACCCTAACTTTAAAACTACGCAACGGATATTGATGCGATTATTTTATTGTTAAGCGTGATTGATGAGAAACATTCGTTAAAATAGTAAAGTAATTGAGAGAATAAAGAGAAATCAGCATTACACCCGTGCGAAGTCGGGGCGGGTCGTCACTACATATCTATACTAATATTATAAAGCTAAAGAGTTTGTTTATTTATTTGAACGCGCTAATCTCTGGAACTACTGGTTCGAATTGAACAATACTTTTTTGTGTTCGTTAGTCCATTTATCGAGGAAGGCTATAGACTATAAAACATCACGCCAAGATCTGTAGGAGCAGAGTAGCAGGTGAAACCGCGTGAGGGTAGCTAGTAAAAAGCATGACTAGGTTGTGGATCATTGATAAAACTTACCATCAATATTGACATACTGAGGCTCAGGCGAATACATGTCATAGTCTTTAGGCTGGCTTCTCTCTGGCTTCTTCAGCTTGGTACAGGCTGCCATATCAGCCAGTTTGGCTGCATCATGGCTGGTGATCATCACCGTGGCGCTGCATAACTCCGTGTGAAGGTATCCCTGCATTTGCAGGAAGACCAGGGCGTTCGCAATATCTAAAGCGTACTGGACCGCCGTTTGTGCACTTAGAATGCGACCCTGAGAATGTTAGTTTAACCTTTAAATAATAACTTTAATTACGTGGTAATATGAAACACAATAGTAAAACAAGAGGAGCGCGAAAGCCGGCGTGCGATGAAATAAAATGCATTATTGCTTAGGATCAAACATAACCTTTCTACTTTTTTGGTTAAGTACTTATGATACTAATTTTCGGCGGCTTACGCAGAGTTCTGCCTAAGTTACGAGTTAACTGAGTAGTCGCGCTACCACTTCAGTAACCCAGGCAATGCACTAAACCAAGTCAAAGCAGATAGACGAAAGAATTAAAACTTCGCGGGGCCAAGTTACAGATAGTATATACAATTAATAAAACATCCATATTCTTCAAAGATAGACTTACCTCTGCTAATCCTATGCAAACTGAATTCAAAAAAGGTTTTTATCGTTTAGAAAATATTTTTTTTTATAAGAGTTATGATTGACAGCATAATACTGACTCGTATGTTAAAAAATATATCCAGTTTTACCTGCACGTGTAGTATGCTGTACAGCGAGTCGACACATCTCTCGCAGATCAGGTGAACGTTGCCGTGAATGTCAGGATACAGCCCCATCAGAAGTATAATATTAGGGTGGCGACACTTTCTAAAATGATAACAAAATACGAATGCAATCAAGTCCATCTGAAAATCTTATGTAAGTTTAAGTGTGGGAGAGCCATGCTTCGGCACGAATGGGTCGGCTCGACCGGAGTGATACCACGGCCTCACAGAAAACCGGCGTGAAATAACCACAGCGTTGTGTTTCGCCGTGTAAGTGAGGTTACCGGAGGCCCAATCCTTACCCTCCCCCAATCCCTCCTAAATCCCTAAATCTCCAAATCCCTAATCCCTAAAAGGTCGGCAACGCACTCGTAACTCCTCCGTTGCGAGTGTCCATGGGCGACGCTGATTGCTTACCATCAGGTAATCCGTCTGCTCGTTTGCCGACCTAATAAATAAAAAAATAAAAAAAAATATAGTTGAAAGAATATTCCGACTTCTATTCCTCGAAATAAGCAGTACCTTTACATTTTGTTAATTCAAAATTACTGCAAACTTATTATACTGTCACGGCGACATATCCACGGTCGTGTTAAGTGCCAGTGTCAACTTTAAGGAGAACTACTTTCCTTCTATTTAGCTGAATGCCATTACGACCAAAAAACTGACAATAAATTTAAGCTCGGACGTTTATGTGACACCTCACACCTACCTCATTTCATTAAACGGACAATGACTTACAAAAGCACCATTGTGCTGAGAACATCATGCCTGTTAAAAGCCTTTACTGCTACAGAAATGACGTCATAATCTCACCTCAATATGTTTATCTCCGTGTTCCGTTTCTTCCTAACATGTTCAACGGTGACACCATTCAATTTCTTTATCTGCACGGGAACCACGCCCCACTTCCCATAGTTCCAGGTTTTATTCCTTTCTACCGTTACATCGAGGTTGCTGGCACATGCTATCGGCAACCCGTATGTACTCGCATCACTCTAAAACGAAACCAAATTGCAGGTATTAAGTGATTCATTTCCGAATTAAAACAATGCAAATGACTCAGACGTAACGTTACTAAGACACTAGGGGTTTTACGTTTACGTTTTACAATAGCAAATCAGTCATCTGCATCAGTCGGTCTAAAGCCTGGCTAGTCAAACTGATACCGTTTACTTGATTTCACTAAGGTCAATGATGCAAACAAATCTATTAAATGAATGAAGGAGGTCGGGCATTGCCCTGCCAAACATACTTTACTATCGTCAGACTTGCTAGTGTTCGGCGACTGGACCTGCAGTTGCTCGTCTGCCCACTGATCCAAGTTCTTCAACTCACTCATTACTTCCCAAAGCTTATCATCGGAGACATTTTTCTTTGGACTAAGGGACGCACCTTGACTAGATAAATTAATGTCTCCTGTTGCTTTTACTCCATCAACTTCATCGTTGTCACTCCTGTGACCGTCTAAGAAGTTCTTCACATCGAACGGAAGAGAATTGTTCTTGTAAAACGTAGGAGGAGAGTTTGTCTGGTCTTCTTCTTTAAAATCTATGTGCTTTTGAACTAACATGTCCATATCTGAAGATCTGCTTGTTTTTTGACGCGACTCTCGTTTGTATTTTTGTGGTTCAGAAAATGATGATGTCGTCGGGTACAAATTCCCAGGCATGAACACTTGATTTTGGAATAGGAACTGTATGTTCGGGAGGCCTCCGTAAACTGATCGTTCAGGGGTCGTACTTCGAGCGCGTTTTTGTTTCTTTTTATATTTAACGGCTGATTTCTTCTCATAATTGAAAGTGTTGTCGTGGTCTGCAGTGCAGTCGGTACAAGATACGGGCAAAGAATGTCTACCACATTTTTTCTTAACAGGTGTATCTTTGGGCTCTTTACTTCCTATGGATCGTCTTGCCTGGAATTCTGCTAAATCACGTTTATATTCCTCTGTTCGAATAGTGCCGATTTGTGTGGTACTGTGAGCGCACGGTGCTTCAGGTGTTGTGGGACTGGGGCTCACGTTGTGATGTGTCGTTACAGTTACCCGCTCCCTGTTAGCAAACAATAACCACGTATAGATAATTTTTTAAGGTTTTTAAGTTCCTATTGGAAATGGGAATCATAATAGTAGTTAATATCCCCGTTATTAGGGAATGCCAGCCAATAACAGGGACTTTGATTGCTGTCCATTTTTTTTAAACATTTTTTAAACAAATTGTTTTAAAAAAATGCCTGATAAAGCTATGAATCATTGCTACATTAATCGTTTTTTACGGCTGTCTCTCAGCAAGCCTATACTCTGAATCATTTTTTAAGCAAGGCGTTAAACCAACAATAGTCTGAGAAAAAACCTTAACAATATAAAAGTACAAATAACAGCAACTAATGGTAGTTTGGACGTCATTCAAACAGCAAAAGCGTGGGACAGTCGCGGGTCACCGGCGCCGCAACGTCGAGATCTACTCGAAATAAATGGAATTTTGTATTGAATTTAAACTGTTACGCTTTGGTTTCAGGCGTTATTTTTAGAGCGACAAAAAATGTTAAGGCGTTGCACCGTAACGCACTAGTTCCTAATCTTTTATTTTTAGTGTCAGTTTTTTCTTTTAAGTCCTTTATCTCTTAGACAGGCTTAGTAACATAGCCCCGAGGCGCGATTAAATAACATCCAGTAGCAAAAAAACAATGGACTCCACAAATAAGAGAGCAAAGTAAGAGGCGATCATAATCATGAGTACCAACGCGGGACGATCGATACACTTTTACCGATTACCAATTTGATCAGGCTCGCAAATTTGTTCCCAGGCATTGTATATCTGACATCAATTTGATCTCTTGTGAAATAGCTCTCCTAGATTCAATAAACTGATAGATCGTGTCTATCAAAACGTAGTTATATCACTAAAATATCTAGTACCTACTAAAATTTTGAAAGAGAAAACACAGACATTCAATACTGCTATTTTGATACTCCTTTTTTGTCACGCCTCAAGTTTTTGTCAACGAAAGCGAATGGAGAAAGGAATTTCATTTATATTTCGTACTTATTTAAAATACATTTTGAAAGAGTAATGAGCTATTAAAGTCCTTTTATAGCAAATTATTTTATATGTACGTCTTTTGGGTAGGTACCCACCACAGAATCATTACGTTCGTTGAGTCCGCTACATAAGTGGTTGAGCTGTATTCTAATTTTATAACAATTATATAATTTATTAGTTTTCACTTGGACACAAAAGCACTTCAGTAATGAAGGTACTTAAGTCACAAGTGACCTATTGGATACCACCTAAGAGTTTCAAGTACGTAATTTTAACTTGGGTCATACAAAGGCTCGGCAACGTCGCAAACTTTCTGCTTAGTATCAAACTTCTTTGTTACACAGAATTTAAAGTCATCCATTATAATGTTCAATACGCCGGAAGTAATAACAAAGGTTTATTTTATAATCTCGATTCGATACAAACAAAACATTACGTAACTTTGTAATTAAACTAGAAAGCACCTCGCCAAACCCATATCTTCTGACCCGAAGATAATGCTTACATAAATAAGAAGCTGTCGGTGTCCAGTCAACAATTTCGGTTATTTGTAAAGCAAGACATCACTGTCACAAATAAGTTGAGTGAAAGTGAAATTTCAATAACACTGTTTTAGAACCATTGAAAGGCTCCAGATCGAATCGAAGCAGTAATTAATGGAGGCATCAATCACGACCATGTACAAGGAGGCATTCTTTTCCAAAATTGCTCAATCGTGCGCGTTGAATGAAGTTCCAAAAAAAAAACAACCATAGATATATTATTTCGTTGGATTCCCGCGCATGATTTGAATGATAAACGAAAGTATTTTCTATGAAAGAAAGTCAGTTCCTTTGTTGCCTCAACAATAATCCTCAAATACTAAAACGTGGCTTTAAGATGTTATGAATATGCAGAGATAGTTTGAAACGCTTAGTTTACAATACAATAGTTTTTCAGTCAGTCAGTAGTCAGACACGCATTTTTGTGTTGGGTGAATGTTAAAGATGGGTACAGTCATAAAAGTATGAAAGTGTCTGGTATAAAATATTTCTTTGTCCCAGCGAAATATTACCTCGATAAAATCGTGGCTAGTTTTCTGGCTTGATATTACAATATATGGTCGGAATTGAAAGCATTGGCTTTTTCATTCACGAATACGGCTATCTGGCATCACGCCTACCCAAAATGATAAGAGCACGCAGATCATAGATGAAACGCGAGAAAATAAATAACTTTCACTCTCACGTTTATAATAAATTCACGACTTTGACCCTTCAGTCGAGTTACGTGATGTAGTTCAAAGATCTAATTAACGTTAGCCAAATTTGAACTGTTTTGTGCACCTTTGAGAACCCTTTTCACTATACTCAAAGAAAGTAAGAAGTTGTGGAATATGCAAACTTCGAAACTGGATAAGTTGTGCTGACTGGTGCTTTGAGAGAATGCAGTATATAACAAATACATTAGGAAGAAAAAGCAAAGATTTTTGAATGTTTAACAACAATATTGCATTCACCGCCGATTTTTTATTCCGATCACTTCCCCGAGGATACGGGGTTGCTCAGTACAAGAACAAACACCACTGTTGGCTCCATGTACTCCGGTTGGTCCTCACAAAGCAAAAGATGCGCTAAAGGCAAAATTATAATAAGTATTTTATTAAAATGTTTTGAGAAGAAATCAGCTCATTAAGACATAGGTAAATAGTACTAAAATTAAGCGCTAAGGTACTTACAAACTTCGATATATCCCGTAAATTATATCTTTGGTAATGTATAATCACTTACGAGTTAAAAATTTAAAAACACTCAACTTTAATAAAACAAATTAATGCCAAACTTGATTTTCTTATCGAAATCTTGCGTACTGGCCACGAACCTCTCCAAGTGACGAATGAATAAAAAATCAATTAAATTCTTTTAAACTTACGATACGTTATAATTAGTCAATGTTATCAATCTGTAGGTAGAACTTATTATTTTTGTTGCCTACAACAGGCAAACAGATGATTATGTGAATGAACTTATTTCGAGAAGTCGTTGAACTCGTCGTAACTTATAACCTAGTTATAACCATATTTTCCTTCTGTCTTAAGGACACTACTAATCCTAGTTTCCATGAAAAATATCGTAAAAATATTTACCAACAGTCCAGTAAGATACACCTGTACCGAAGTTCAGGAAATGACTAAACTAGGACCGATGGCCGAACTAGATTTCGTTGCAATAATTAATTGCGTTCACCCGATTTGTATTGGCAATGGTACACAAAGCTTTGGCTTTTATTGGATTGGATTCAAACCTATTGTGGGTAGGTACAATTCTGATGATTCAACGTTAGGTGGTCCACTTACATCATCCTGGGACTGTAACATTGTGCATGGTGTATTGTAATCGTCATTTTGTTGAATTCTACATCGGACAAAAAGTTACTGTTCATGCAATCTTCTGATAGGAACCGAAATCGAAATGTTTAGGTACTGGACGTTAAGTACGTGAACTGTTCGGAATACATTTAGCGCCATCTAAAAAAGGAGGTAATACAGGTACGAACCTATGATAACTTTGTATTCAAACAAAAAAAGAATTCTAAAACATTTAAATCCTAAAAGTGATAATCATTCACAAAATTAAGTTATAATTTAATAAAAGATGATAAAAGAATACGTACTCACCGGCGTAACCACTTGAAAACACCCATATCCTGTAAGGTATCCACTTTTTGTTCGAAAAAAACTAACACGATTAAACGAGACGTCTGCAATTAGCAATTAAATAACATTTATCGAATATAAATAAGTTTTTAAACTAAAACAGAAAGTTCGTCGATGCGAGGAGCCGAACACGAGGAACATTACCGGCGCATTAGAAGTCCGATCGTTATAAAAAACGACTAGCAACAATGACCACCGATATATTGTGCGGTCAGACAAAACATCACGAACAACGCGGCATTCGCAATGAGTTGAATTTGGTTTTTTGTACAAATTACTTTTCGTTGCGCTCCGGTGATCCACTTCATGCGCGCCGGTCGTCGAGCGTCGGCCCTCCGCAACTCAACTCTAGTCTGCTGCGGTCACAGACGGCTCGTCAACCATACGATGTGCACCTACTACCGCACAATACTTAATTCTATACCTATTTTAAGTCATACATTAAGGGTAGTAAGATATTAAGTCAAGTAATAAAACGACCAACGATCATTGTTTACCTTATTGCAGTGTTCGTTTCAGATTTACAACGACCTCTTGATGTTTTAGATTTGTATTCATATAAAAACTTCTTCATTGTTTCGTTATTTTGCATCACATACAAAATATAAAAAATAATAAATCATAATCCGTATACTAAATTGCAATTGCAATTATATTCATGTAAATTATTGCAAAATGCAAGACTGGAAGCTGGAAACTGTTGGAATAATTAATGTCATTTTCCGGAAACAAAACAAATAAGAAGGTATTACTGTTTATTATTTTTAGGTAATTTAAAACAATCCTGGGCATGGTATAATAATTAAAATTGTTTCTCAAGGACTGTTGGAATAAAACATGTGTTGGTTTTCCTGGAAGTAAGGAGAAAAAATATATTTAAAATGAAAGAATTTTTAGGCATTTTATTCTGGATGTTGTAGTTCCGGTGCCATGGAACTTAATTACTATTGTACAGGTAAAATAGGCAAATGCAAATTTTTGTATGAATTCACTTTATAATAAATCCTTAATAAATTATATTATGAGTATGACTTTTAGCAATGTCCTGTATTGCTGGGAAAACAGGTGGCATGATTAAGGTTTTCAATTTTATTGATCGTTTTTATTTTTCAAAATCTTTTACCACTGGCAACTAGTTTTAGTTTTTATTATTTGTGTGCTTGCAATATTACTATTAAAATGTCATCTTTGATTTTGGAAAGCAATGTTTACAGTTGCGTTTGATTTGAATTTTTTACATTTTTAATCATTTATCTAATGAAAAATAGATGGACGAATTACGGGGACCAAATATACAAATAGTGCTGCATGTAAAAGAAGGCATGACTTTTCATAATTTCCCTTTCTTTGTGACTACAAAAATAATATACAACAGCTGTAGTAATCATTTAAATTCATTTGGAATGTTTTAGGTCTAGGATTTGGATTTTTACGGACTCCATTTATTGTTAGTGGGTCTCTGAATGGTTATATGTTAGAGACTGATCCTGTCGTGCCGTCACATGCTCCTGTCTTTGATGCAGAACTTGTTTGGGAAGCCGACAAAAGAAGATTCCGAAGGTAAAGAAAAGAGTTTTGTTTTATATTTAAATTTACCACATTTCTTGCAAGGACTCCTTTTAATTTTATTATATTTCCACCAGGGTTGCTATAAGCAACATCAAATGTCAGGTGTGATACAAATCATTATTTTCAGATGTAGTTTTGTACTAAAACAGAACAACAAACACCTAACAGCGATATTTGTTTGATATTAAAAGAGCTGATAAAATTCCACCTCTTCACCTAAAACCTTTTTTGTACACTTATGTCAGTTAAGGTTTAACTTTAACAATTGCAGCTTACGAGTTCAGAATGTGCCTGTGAAAGTCGAAGTCTTCACAACTAGCACCCAAGGACGTAAGGACAAGGTTGGGTACTTACTTCTGAGCCTTCTTGGAGCTCAGCCATGCCCTTCCAACAAGATTGTAGAAGTAAGTACTTACAAGAGTTTGTTTCTCTGTTTAGGAACTGCCAGACTCTTAGGTCTTTTCACATGTTTTGAGGAGTATTTTGTAGCTTAGCTGGGTAATACCAGAAAAACTACTAAGTATATTATTATAATCAGTCTTTTAATGTAACATTGTAAGCAACAATAATAAATTGTTCTATATTATAGTGAATTGCTTCTTATAAGAATCTAATAGCAATTCAATACATTAATCAGATCTTTGTTCTATATACAATCAGTTAGATTGTACTTGAGTTTGTGTATAAACAGAATGTAACTTATTGTTACATTCGTGTAACACAACTACAAATAAAAAATAATACAATTGAACAGATTCTAAGTTGTATTCCTTTTACTATTAAATCAGCAAACTATTTTACTAACATATCATAAAAGTTTCTGATAAAATTTTGTGCCATGTTCATACAAATTATATTTTATATCCAAATAAATTTCGCCAGTACTTAATGGATATTATTATACATATAAACATTTGTCTTCAAGCACTTTTTACATAAAAAACATACCTTAGTCTGAGGCATAATTTTAAAGATTTAAGCATACATAGGGATGTAGGGACAAAGAAAGCAACTTTGTTTTATTTTACATAGTGATTTATCTGGTACCTAGTGTTTATCCAGACATTGTTATATAGACCCTTATACTCGGAAGTTGACACACATTTTGTTTTACTCATTATTTTTATAGTTTTCTTTTTGTATTCATAATTACAGATTAAACACTCGTGGCACAGGCTTCTTGGTGTGAAGTCGGAGGGAAAATGTTGTCATCCACAATTGTTGATGAGCCTTTCTATTGAAGACAGGATTAACACACCAACTCCTGTAAGTAAATATTTACATAACATACATATAAATAGTGCTTTAAAATTATACATTATTAATCAGTAAAATTGCTCTATTGTTATTTTTTTGTTTATTATGGTCTATTGGTTTAGGTAATTACTAAACTTAACTAAATGTAAACTGTCTTGGCATGTCTTTTTATCTAAAAATTGTGTGTGAAAATGTTTACAATCATGTATTTACCTAAATCAATTATATGTAACAAACTACAATTAAACAATCTTGGTATGTATTTAAAAAAAAGACATATGAAGATTGTTTTCTTTTAGTTCCACCACCAAAACCAATAGACCATAATTACTTTTTTGTGTACTGACCCTTAACTTTTTTTTTCTTATTAGGACAACTTTTTGCTTATATTGATTACTTTCTGCTACATTATAGATTTTTACAACTTCTATATTCACTTTTATCTGAAATCTACACAAATTCTCAGCTGCTAGGACCTATAAATTTACAGATACACTAGGTCGTCAGATAGAAATTGATGTACAGTTAGGTGCTAATCAAATGTGAAATACACTTTCATTTGTGTGAAAGTTATCTAGATTTTTTCCAAATCTTTATGGACTGCAAAATATCCTGATTTATATACCATTTGATATTTTTGAAGAACTTAGAACATAGATAGCATCTCTCTTGTATGTACTTACAGGGATAAGTAGAGTACATTTTTGATAGATAAAGTTCTAAGGTATTTAAAATAATAAAAGATTGTTGTAAGAAAGGATGGATGCTTGCTATTGAATCATTCTCGTAAAAAGTACTGATTGATTTTTTATGAAAACTTGCATGGATATAATAGATTAAGATATAATTTCAACCGGGTATACCATGGTTGAAGCATCTGGCAGGAGGTGGTAAGCCCAGCCTAATAGATTTTTATCAACAACAGGAGGTATTTGACACACACATACATAAGTACGGTATAATAATACATAATTCCTTTTATATTGGACACAGAGACATGCATGTGGTATATGTATACATACTGAAACATCCACTTATGTTAGGAATCCCAGGTATCAGGTGATTTTATAAAGGTGGTCTATTTCTGGTTGTAATAAACACTTATTATTATCTATGAACTATGAAAGTGCCATCTTTTCATGTTAAAACTAATGAATACTATACCATTAGTATCGATAATGGGTCATGTATATTCATATTATTCTAGTTTTTATACATTGCATGTCTCTAATCACATAATGTCGATTCGATATTGTTTATGTGGAAACTGAGTGCAATTTTTGTATGTTAAGTAAGTATACAAGCAATAATTATATTCAATGGAATGTGGAAGTTTGTTATTATGTTCGATAATTTATTTGAAGTATTATGTGGACTCCTGATCATGCAGTTTTTGGTAATAACTTTCTTTTTAATAGGGAATAATGTAAGGCTTTTAATATTATACTATGGAAGAGGCAGTAGATTATAATAAGCTGATGATAATTAAAATTAATTTGTATTTTATTCAATTAACAACCTCCTTTTCTGTGTAATGGAGGATGTAGAGATACGAGCAGTACTTAATAGCAATTAATAGGAAATAATGTGCTCTTTTTCTTTTGGGTAACTTGGTACTGATTTTTCAATGGTTAGATAAATGATACTCAATACTCAATATCTTTATTGCTTTTCCATAAGTACATTTAAAGGTGGTAACAATTTGTGTGAGATCAATTATGGACCCTGTAGGGCACAGCAAAATAAGGCAAACAGGAGAGGTGATATCTGGGGAATAATTATGATGCTGTCGCGTTAGAATGTTTGTATAAGACAGTGACAGCAACAATTTTATTCCTCAGACAACATTTATCTGACTATTGAAAAATCAGTCCTTAGTTTAATTATTTTGTTTTCAGCGCAATGAGCTGCGTTTGTTCCATAGCAATGAGGTCGCTTACCCAGATACAAACCCCACGTCGAATCCTCCAACTGCCAAATCTATGCTGTTGACTCTGAGTAAGTATTTCTTATATAGATAACGTAAATTAACAAATTTTTCAATCAATATATGTATGTACTTGTTTCAAGCTTGCAATCTAAGTAGTGTCTTATTTTATTTTTACTATTTACTATAATTGCTAAAGTTAGTTTTTGCTAACTTCTATCTTATTAAGATGAACCCTGAAAAAAGATGTGTTTGTTCAACAAGGGTATGGCAGAGTTGTGACTGGCATGATTTATGTTTTTAGTAACATTGTTGCATACTTAATACTAAACTTTTAAGTAATAATAATGAGTGGTTTTTTTAGTCAGTAAGAGCTTTGTAACCGAGCCCCTGTTAATGGGGCAGACACAAAGTGTGTAATTGTAACTGTACCTACTGCAATATTTTTTTACTCCAATACTTATATTAAAAAAAGGTGTCCCGTCTTATGAGTTTCTCATGTTTCGTGATTGAGTTTAAAAACATATATATATACACATACTTACACAAACCACAATGACCCGAATAAACTACAATTTGTTGATCACACAAAGCTGCATATGTTGCACAGCAACCAGATGCCCATTTATTTTACTTTACTATTATTTATTTTACCCTCAGAGGAATATGTGGCGGAAAGCAAGAAAACTGCAACGTCTCCGGAACTGCAGCCGAAACTGCTCTGCGATGAAGGCCTCATACGGATCGGCGCTGGGAAACAATTGTTCGTTCTCAGCTTTGTCATTGGAGCAGTTGAAAATTTCGACTTGGTATGGTATTAGTTTTTTTATGTGGCAACTCGACAAACAAGCAGACGGATTTCATGTTGGTAAGCAATCGGCACTGACCATATACACCCGCAACACCGGCCTTTTAGAGATTTAGGGGTATTTTTTTGTGAGGGGAAATCATCAAATTCCTTCTCCCGCCCAGGGCCGGGCTGGAGGGAGTGTCAGACTCTTACTGACTAAAAACCCCCTGTTCCTTCTCCTGCTCGGGGCCGAGGTCGCGGTGCCATTGAGCTTACCACGTAACCCCGGCTGAACATCAGCCCTATAGGGCCCCGTCTGTGGTGGTCTATTGGCTCTTTGAGGCGCGCGCGGAACGCTACGCGCCGTACGCTCGGGCCTGGTTCTGGTCGGGCGGCGAGCTGCCCTTACTCGCCGACCGCAGACTCGCGGTTACGGTGGCCGGAGATCATCTCTCGATCCCCGACGCCCGGAATGTCGCCTATTGCGGCGGCTGGGGCGTGAGGAGGAGGATTGCTACCGCACGCGGGCCGCCTCCCTCTTTGCGAGCATAACTGCTTCACAGTAGGAGGAGACGGCGTCCTAGTTCCTCTCACTCCGCACCATGGCCTCGACTAAGGCCGGGCGCGAGAGTTCACCGCCGCCGAGAGATTTAGGGGTTAGGGAGGTTTTTTTATGGTATGGGCCGGTAAACGTGCAAACGGATTACCTGATGGTAAGCAGTCAGCGCCGCCCATGGACACTAGCAACACCAAAGGAGTTACGAGTGCGTTGCCGTCCTTTTAAAGATACTTAAAGGTTTCGGATATTTAGGTACGGATTGGGAAGGGATGGGTGATTGGGCCCCCGGTAACCTCACTCACACGGCGAAACATAACGCTGTGGTTGTTTCACGCCAGTTTTCTGTGAGGCCGTGATATCACTCCGGTCGATTCGACCTTTTCGTGCTGAAGCTTGGCTCTCCCACACTTAACATAGGATAAGGTGTCCCCTTTTATTCCCTCCTAACTAAGGTTTGGGCCGTGTCCGGTAACCTCATTCATATGGGCGAAACACAATGCTGTGATTGTTATAGCTGTTTTCGCCGGTCGAGTCGACTTATTCGTGCCGAAACATGGCTTTTCTATGTTATAATTAGTGTTGATCTCGTCAGTTTTTTTAAATTAGATTAAAGTTTTTTAATTAATTTAATGTTAGATTACACTCTTTAGGAAAGAAGAAAGAGTGGAGATTTCTAATGAGCTACAGCTGAGTACAAAGATACTAATTAGAGTAAAATTTTATAATAGTAATTATTTCCTTCCTTTCCTTCTTTTTTATAAAACGTTGCCCCACATTAGGATTTTTTCCTGTGTCGTGGGTGCGGTTACAAACATACAATTTCACATAGGTACACATGACACCCAGACCCGGAACAACAATTTGTGGATCACACAAAGAGTTGTTCCGTGCGGAAATCGAACCCGTGACACGTTGCACGGCAGCCAGTTGCCCAGCCACCGCACTAACTGTGCAGTCAATAATAATATTATTATCCTTTCAGTTATTACCTGATCGAAACACCGGCAAAGAAGTGGACTGTTATGTAACTTATTCAGTATTTACACATAACATCATGACGGATCGGTATGTACATACTACTTAACTTATATTTCCTAATAGGGTACAGAAGATCCCCTCTGTATAATCTGTATGTTTTATAGAGAAACGGTGCATGATTCTAAATTGTATTGATTCAAAAATAAAAAGAAAAGATTTGAGATATTTAAGGCGTGTTATTTATTACACTACTGTTTGATACATGTGGGTATTTCAACGTGAAAATATTTATTTATATTAAATACATACAGACCCTTAAAACACGCTTGCTTTCTCCCACATCTACTACTATCTATATATAATTAGCTTCCAAACGCGTCTTTGCCGGCGTGGTAAGTTGATTAAATGTGTCTATGTATCTACATACTTAACTTCCACAAAATCGGTTTAGCCGTTTTTGCTTGAAAGAAAAGCAAACATACATACATACAAACATTCTCACAAACTTTCACATTTATAATATAAGTAGGATAGTAGGATATTAAAACGGTCTGTTGTACTCAGAATGTCAGCATCCCCAACGTCGTCTGGTGGCTCGACCGTGCATTTCAACCAGCGTACGTCCCTCCGACTGGCCTCGGACCTCGCCACCCTCAGCCGGTACTTCACGGAGTGCCCACATCTAGTCACCAGGGTCTGTGCTGGGGAGAATGATGTTGGTATGGATACTCATTAGCCCCAATAAAATTAACACGGGAAAATTTGGGTTCTTGATGTGATGGGAAGCTACGCTAGTTTTTTCGAAACAAATGTTTGCTAAAAAATGTATGGGAAGTGAGTGTAAAACGCACTTGTAAATTCAGTTAAATTTAATACAAAAACATCAATTTTTGTTTATAAATCTGCTGAGCAAAGCCCTCTTCTCACACGGAGAAGGATTGAGCATTAATCACCACGTTTGCTCAAGCCGGATTGATTTCAAATTTATAATCAGAAATAAGTCTAGGTTTCCTTCACCGTATGTCAATGGTAGCTAAATAATTATAGAATGAACATATAACTGGGAAAAATTCGCATTGGTACTTGCCAGGTTCCATGCATGAAAATCCTCGTAACCTCCAACCCACCATGTATTATGTTCAAACTTCAAAAAAATTAAATAAAAAATGTCCTTACCACCAAAAGCTCAAAAAATGCGGAATAACATTAATAAAACGCTTTCAATATCTTCAGGTATCTGCAGCATGGATCTTCGCAAATTAATACCTACAGAAGACATTCAGCACTTTTTATCCAAGTTCTGCAATAGTGACGGGGCTCTCAGCATACACGAGCGTTGCTTCATACTGCGCTGTGACGAGACTCCGGCCAGGGACGGCTCGAGGAGACCCTTCGTCGATGTGGAAATGAGCCTCAAATATATAGGAGTTAAACAGGAAGAGAAGGTAATACGGTATTTGACGATATGTCAAATTCAATAGTTCTATGAATTTAGTATGGAAAATAGAAATGTGACGTCTTCATACTTTTGAGTCAAACAGCATACTAAAATCTATACTAATACTAGCAGACCCAGCCACGCGTTGCTGTGGCTAAGGTTCTTGTCATATTACATTTGGACAGATAATTTGCAATAAACCAATATTGTGACTATAAATTGAGATGTAAGCTATCCTATCTTTCAAGTTGGATCAAAATGTACACGGAATGCAAATCAAATTTTAAATTGGTACAAATACGTGACACTTAATTCAGTGGATAATAAAGGCCGTTTTATATATAGAACGCCTTCGCTTCTGAAAAAAGCTTGATTTTTTATCTTTGTATAAATAATTTAAGTGCCTTATTTTTATTTAAATTAATAAATATTTCAGAAACCTCCCAACCTGACGGCCCGCAGTGCGTCCCGCCTGCAGAGTGGAGGCCGGGAGGGCGTGCCTCACGAGCCAAACCTCGACTTCCGAAGTGGAAGCTGTACCAACCTCGGACGTGATGTGGGACAGGTCGCCTATACTAGCGTGGGACCTATGAATACTGGCAGGTAAATACTAGAACTATACAGATAACCATAGTTATCTGTTTTAATATAAAAAGCTGTAGGTAATTAGGGTAGTTGACAATTAATCAAATTCTGTACTTTTATTGATATTTATTTATTTATTGAAAAAAAGGTAGGCTCACAGCTTATGTATACAAAGTTCTTAAATGTATTAGATAATAGGTAGTAGATCTTATACATTAGCCAATTATATGCCAAATTATAGGTCTAATTATTTTGTTTGAGATCCAAATTTGTGATATCATCATATTTTCGTGCGAAGAAGTAGACTTATTTCTTTAAATGCAGTTAAATTTATAAGCGCAGGTATGGTTACATGTGTTAAATTTTTTACTATAAGGCTTAATGATATATTTATGATAACTAATAACTGGTTTCGATTCCCGTCTCCATTTCTAATTCGTAATTTAGGCACCCTGTAATCTGGTCTGGCCCGTAAATAAAATAATATCCATACTTGGTTTAGGAAAATCGAAATTTTTGTCGATCCTAGGTTAGGTTTGAAATGACGATACGACGTTTTCCTGCACCGTTAGTTAGCTTTGAACAATATTAGAAAGTAAATAGACACATATATCATACATGCATTGATAAAAGTCAGATTCTTACAACGTAAGGTCGCTATCCCACTAGGCGTTTTAATAAGCGTTGGCGTCACCGTTGTGTTTACGTAGCTTCGACGCCGCGCTGACACGACGGTAACGCCGCGTCGTCGCGTGGCAAGCATTAACGTCCGTGGGATAGCGGTCTAAAATGTATGAGAAATGTAGACGGCATCCGAGATATCAGTGTGAAAATCGTAGTGGTAATGAAAGTGTAAAAGCCATTTTTCTCTCAGTAACAAAACTGTAAATCCTATTTCAGATACAAAACGGCATCAGGCGACGCGGTGATCCAATCAACAGAAATAGCGGACCTTATAAAGAAGATGTGTGAGTCGTTAGCGCTGTCGCAGGAAAAGTTACTCGCGTCGCAGCCCCGGCCCGTGACGGCCGACATGCAGGTGCAGTGCGAGGACATGCTCGGGGACAGTAACAGTGAACCTGCACTCACTGCTCATGGACATGGAAATAGGTATATTTTAATATTACCGTTGCTCGACTCCTGCGATGTTTTAGACTGTAGCCTTCCTCGATAAATTGTTATTATTTGGGAAACAAAAACATGTTATATAATAGTAAATTATTGTGCAAGCATTATGCTGAGGCGCATTGAGGCCCGAGATGCCTTAAGGAGCTGAGGATGGTAAACATCAATACATACGTGTATCGTATGAAGTGTAAGAGAGCCAAGCTTCGGCACGAATGGGTCGGCTCGACCGGAGTGATACTACGGCCTCACAGAAAACCGGCGTGAAACAACCCACAGCGTTGTGTTTCGCCATGTGAGTGAGGTTACCGGAGGCCACATCCCTCCCCTTCGCCATTGCTTACCGACGTTGACGTTGTTCAACACACTTCTGAATGAAATAATACTTACTTAAATAAAAACTACCAAAAGAGAAAACGAGACGAGATGTGAAAAAATTTTTCGTCATAGCGGGGAAAATTAAACAATTTTCCTATGTGTGTGTAGTAAAAAATCAAGTGTCGTATCTGAACCAAAAAACACCTTTTATTTTTTGTGGTTTTTTGCTACACATCGTCATCATCATTAGATCATTGAGATCATCATCAATATTTACAAAATGTCCACTGCTGAATAATGTATAATTATGTATAATATTTTTTCCAGAACGATGATATTGGAGACAAGTAAAAGCGATACTTGTATCATGAAAAATGACAAAGGTATGTATTTATTTACCGGTTAACACGTGAGAGAGAAAAATCTTATGTTTTTACTATTCTCTCTGGTATTTTCTCCAATTCCATAAATAAATATTATAAACAAGTATAAAATGTAGAATTTGCAATGTCATAGAAATCTTATACATGTTTACAGAAAAGGTAAAGGAGATGATACCTGCACTAGAACGCAACGCCATAATGCAGAAGTTTGTTGACGAGCTCGAAGACTGGAAGGAGAAACAACAGGAATTGTTTAAATGTCAAGTATGTAGAAACATTTTGTTATGTAGTTTTATTATACACTAGTTGACCGAGTACAAACTTCGTGTCGCCTCAAATATAGCTAATAGATGATATTAACCTTCCCTGTATATTCAGGGATATTTAAAGACTACTATAAGCCTTGTTGGTCAGGCTTTCTCGGGTTTTAGCGAGACTAACGAACGGCAATTCATTTTTATATATAGAATATTATTATACTGGCGGCCCGCCCCAACTTTGTACGGGTTTTCCTACTATCTCGGTGTTAATTATTTGTTTTGTTAGTGAACCTTCACGGCATAGAAAATGCAAAAGTATTGGAATTCCCAGATGTTCACCACTTCCTGCGGTCCAGGCATAATTGATTTCAATGGTAGCTCGGAATATAAATGTTGATCAACCCAATAGGGGCTAAAGTTGTTTTAATTATCAAATGGCGCTAATCTAGCACTAATTTTTCAAATATCGAAATAGAGGACATGACGCGCCCGACACCAAGGCTGACGAGGCCCTACGTCTTTTATTTTAAGTGTGGGAGAGCCATGCTTCGGCACGAATGGGTCGGCTCGACCGGAGTGATACCACGGCCTCACAGAAAACTGGCGTGAAATAACCACAGCGTTGTGTTTCGCCGTGTGAGTGAGGTTACCGGAGGCCCAATCCTTCCCCTCCCCCAATCCCTCCTAAATCCCTAAATCTTCAAATCCCTAATCCCTAAAAGGTCGGCAACGCTCTCGTAAATCCTCCGTTGCTAGTATCCATGGGCGGCGCTGATTGCTTACCATCAGGTAATCCGTCTGCTAGTTTGGCGACCTATTAAATAAAAAAAAATAAAAAACTGGTTGAAGTTGGTTAAATCTAAATCATAGATAACATACACAACAAAATAGTTTAACGCATTAAAATATGTATTAAAATAAAATTACAGCTAAAACGTAAAGAAGAGTATCACCTGGAACTCTTAGCTAAGGAATGGGCGAAGAAACAAGTGGACCTGGAATGTAAACTAAGTAAGGGCATAGAGCAGTGTCGCAACCTCGCAGCGGACCTCAGCCGCGCCACTGAAGACTTCAGGCTTAGAGGGTACAGGAACTGCGAGAGGGAGAAAAAGGTACATTTTTTACAGAGTAATTGAATATTCGAAGGAGAACTACATATGTACAGTACGGCCGACGTATCTTGGCCAGTCTGAAGTTAGCCGCTTGTCTGCACAATGGGTCTTTTAGTAACAAATTTGTGTACTGCGCAGGTAATCGGGTAACTTCAGACTCGCCAAGATACGTTGGCGGTATTGTATGTCGCTTTTATCTTGAGACAACCTAAAGAAGATTGAGCTTATTTATGGTTTCGCTTTTTGAAGGGTACGGTCACTTAAGCTAATCTATAAACTATGGTTATTATTGTAAGGTTTTAATTTTCAATATGTTTAGTATATACTATTATATTTTTTGTTCCATTATAGTGAAAGGCAACATTATCAGAATTTATATATGAAAACAATATTAAACTTAATTACAATCAGTACGCACCGATTTAAATATGTACAGTTTCATAACCAATATTTTTGACGCTTATGTGACTTCAAATAATATACATCCTAAGAAACTAAGATTTTGTTTAAAAAACCCCACTCAATATCAATTTGTTTTTTACTTTGCTTTACTGTATGTCAATAGCCATCAGTTATGTCCAATTTTCACTATTATACTGTGCCAAAAAAGAGTGCAACTGAGCACCATAATAGTTAGCTCAATCTTCTTTATTGAAAATAACGACTTATAGTACGGCCGACGTATCTTGGCGAGTCTGAAGTTAGCCGATTAGCTGTGCAGTACACAATTTTGTTCCTAAAAGATCCATTGCGCAGACAAACGACTAACTTCAGTTTCGCCAAGATACGTCGGCCGTATAGTACTTACTAAGTAAAATTCTACTAGTTTCAAGTCATAACAGGAGTATTATTTTTGAATAAGAAAGAAAACTCAGCTCACGAATAAGAGTGTTTACCAAAATTATGGATTGTCAAATGAACCTACTAATTTAATATGTAGATATATTGGATCAACATAATCAGATAATTCTTTTACTAACATTTTAGTTGCTAGACGCGAAGAAAGCTCTAGAATCCGATTACACCGCTAAATATCAGGAGTTGAGAGAAGCGTCACAGAAGATGGAAGACGACATGAACCACCAACTCAAGCTGAAGGATATGAAGGTCGAGGAGTTACAGCTTCAAGTCGAACAGCTGCAGAAGCAAGTGGAACTGCTAAAGGTAGAGTTTTAGAAGCCGTGATATTGATAGGTGGCCATAAAGTGCAGGACATATTGTCGATGACGTTCGATTTGTGAACTGGAATGAACAGAGAGTATTTGACAGTGTGAATCCAAAATTATAATTTATAAAATAAGGGGGGAAATTAACAGGCAGATCATTTGATTGTTAGAATTTGTCTCTGTACATGTACTTACCCCTGTTTTCTTTTCTGAGGGGAAAATCATCAAATGACTTCTCCCGCCCAGGGCCGGGCGGGAGGTAGGGTCAGTCTTACTGACTAAAAACCCCCCTGTTCCTTCTCCTGCTCTGTGCCGAGGTCGCGGTACCTCATTGCGCTTACCCCGCAACCCCGGCTGAACATCAGCCCTTTAGGGCCCCGTCTGTGGTGGTCGTATGGCTCTTTGAGGCGCGCGCGGAACGCTACGCGTACGCTCGGGGTACTTAACCCTGTAACATTACTAATTAATCATAAATAGTTGTTTAAACTAAACTAGCGACCCGGCCCCGATTATATCAATCACTCTATCTATGAAAAACCCCTTATAAAACCCCCTTGCGTAGTTTTCAAATTTTAGCATACATAGGAATATAGGGTCAGAGAAAGTGACTTTGTTTTATACGATGTAGTGATATTGTATGTTTTTCAGAACAACATAAAGAATACAGAAAAGGAATCACAGAGTCGATACTCCGGTTTAACGAAAGATCAAACCGCAAGTCTTATACAAGAGTTGGTGAGTACACATAAATAACAATAGCTTCTGCCACCGCCTTTGCAATCCCTTGATGAAAAATAAGCCTATGTGATATAGATTGCTCTGTTGACTTGGCGCGATGGGTGGGCAACTGGCTGCCGATCAATGTGTTGAGGATCCGATTCCCGCACGGAATAACTCTCCATTTATTACACATAAATTAATTACTCTCCATTTATTAAACATCCAAACTTTCGTGTTTTTTATAACTAGCTCTCGCGCGGTTTTACCCGCTGCTCGGCTCCATTTTATCGTGGCGTCATGTTTTATAGCCTATAGCTAGCACTCAGGAACATTGTAGCTATCTATCAGTGAAAGAATTTTGGAAATCCGACCAGCAGTTCTAAAGATCACCTAACAAATTTTACCTCTTTATAATATTAGTACCTAATATAATAAGAGGATAAAATGTTTATTTAAGTATTCAACAGTGTGTTTGTAACGTCATTTTCACCTTGTTTCAATGTGTGTCACACTGACACACAGCCAATTGCTATTGAACAAAATAGGAGACCCCACTCTGGCGCCATAAGATGCGCAAAAAACAGTAGCCGTAGTGAACCGTTCTTGAGTATATTCTTATACATATACAACTTTTAAATCAATATGAAGATTTCGTTAAACCATATGTAATATAAAAAAAAATCCTACTGACTAGCTTTTCTTGACTTATCTGTACTTTATCGCTTAGCACCATACCTAATCATACTCCATACCTAATAACTTTACCATATTTCCAGCGTTACTTGGAAGAAAAATTGGACAGCGCGGTGCAATCGAAGGCTTTCTTCAAAGAGCAGTGGGGCCGTGCAGTGCGGGAGTTACACTTGGTGAAGCTTGCCACCAGGAAACAGATGCTGTCGCAGCTGCAGCAGGACAGGAAGCAACTCGACCATATGCGGTGAATACAATATTGTTATACTTTATTTTTTAGTATAGGTACTGTCGGAGAAATAAAGCTGGTAAGTAAATATTTGGCTGCACGGTTGTAAAACAGCTGGGCAACTGGCTGCTGTGTAACGTGTCACGGTTTCGATTCCCGCACGGAACAACACCTTGTGTGACCCACAAGTCGTTGTTTCGGGTCTTGGCGGCTTGTATATATATTTTTTTATGTTTATAAACGCACCCACGATACAGGAAAAAAAACCTAGGGTGGGACAACGTTTATTACTTCAAGTCGGAAGTATGTTAAAGGTTTATGCAGGCTGGGGCATTTCTTATCTAATGCTTAAAACACCACTCAACCCTTAACATCCTTACAATACTCTAGATGCTTTAAAGATACAGATTCAATCTTCATTGTACTATCCGATTGTAGGATTAAAAAGGTTCTAGCTCGCTTATATAGAGAAAAAAACGTATTCGTTTCAGACTGGACACAATAGAAGATGAAGAGGAAAACCGTACGAACCAGAACCCCATTGACCTGAAGAAGTTGAAAGACGACTTCTACGTGGACATACTCGCTAATACACCGGCACTTAATACGCATTCTTTGATTAGTTAGCAACTTTTTATTTGATATTTTTGACTATAATAAAAACACATTATTTTATTCTTCTTTTACGTACCGAGATAGGTACAAGGCAAGATACTAGTGTAAAAGTTAAAATTAAAATCAGAACAATAGAAAAGTCTGCGAAATGTGTTAGTATGTAATATAAAGACTTGGCAATCTTTATTTATCTTTAATATCCTATTGTTCATTGCAGATCCTAGTGGACCTGATGAGTTAGAAATGTTCACCGATTTGAAGTAAGTAACTACTACTAAAAACTTTGTCATCTCATCAATATGTTTTAATTAAATGAAAATCGAGTCTAATTTAACTTAATTTAATTTAACTCTTTATTTCAGGCTACTAAGGCCCATAAACACTGTACATTAATATATATGTTATCTTTAATTGCAGAAATACACCAAAAAATCCGATGAACGAGAAAATAAATGAATTGATTGCGCAACGCGATCGCTTAGTACAACAGGATAGTCCGGATGAAGAAATGCTGAAACAATTAAACCATGAAATACGAAGTATGTTGCTCAGTTGTGCCACCTGACCATCGATATATTAACGACACAATGCCCTATAGGTTTAGGTAATTAGCTAAATGTAAACAATCTTGACATGTTTACATGCAATTTTTAGGTATAAATATATTACAATCAGGTATTTACCTAAAGCTTGCTTATACGACCTCTTGATATGATATATTTTTTTATAACATAAAAAGACAGATATTATATTATACAAAGACATATCAAGGTTGTTTATCTTTAGTTAACTTAGGACTATTTTGTATATAAAACCAACTTTATGATGTAAATTTCCTTCTGGACATTTAGGCATAGATCACAGATGATCAATCAAATTGTATAAAAGTAGCTTTTCTATGAATAGTTAAAATAACAGTAGCCATAGAAAAGGGAATGATGGCTTATAACTTAAGTTACGCTATGTCGAGTCAGGTCTGTAGAAATAGGGAAATATAGGTATTTGGCCACTAGGGAAAATGTTATAAAGGGTGTAGCTAACAAACTGATGATCTAGTAGTGGGTTGTAAAGGCTGGTTGTAGTTGTTCACATCATTATCATCAATTATAATCAGCTAATAAATATCTTACTGCTAAAAACATATTGACACAGTAGCCTGCCCAATCTGGATGATAAACCCATTGCATAAAACATATCTCTATTCATCTAAATATAGATTTGATTCACAGCCATTTTAACAAACCTCTAAATGGAGATCTTTTTGCGGTGATAATTATAAGAGAAAAAATGTTTGAGCTTAAAATTAAAATATTGTGCCAACCTTCTCTTATTAACTCTAAATAATAATACACATTATATTAATAGTTCATGTGTTTTCGGATCAATAAAACCCACGAAATATTAACAGCGCTGGTAATCCTAAACACTATTTAAACTTGAATATGTGTAATATTATTCTAAAAAAAGGAAAAGGAAGAGTGTATTATTTAACTTGAAGTTCAAACGACCTAAAACAATCACTAAAAATCGACTAATCATTTTCTAATATCATTGCTGTATCGGCATTAGAAACTGTGACTATGTAACTATGTGGTTTATAATAAAGTACAGTCACATAATAGTATAATTTGGTTCATCATCCGGTTGTTGTGGTCAAATGCAAATAAATATTATTAAGCAATTTGCTCTTTCTATAGCAATAACGCCTTTCGATATTAGAATGTCCTATATGATATTAGGCCTTTTATTTATGGCAATAAGTCTCAAATTAAAGAAGGCTACAGCTTATATATGTATAGATTACAGCATACTCCTAAATAAATGCCTTGTCTACTTTGAAATTTTATTTTTATAATGCTAAAAATAAATGTTATGTTAAAATAAAATCATTAATGTCGTCGTTATTTATTATCATGTTTAGTAGTCTATAGTGCCTACGTATTGTTGATTTGTTAATAAACTTTGTGACTGACAATGTTGTGTTGGATGGAGTTATTAAAAATAAAACGTTTTAAAACTTTTTTTGGATTTATTTTATATATAATTGTTTTGTAATTTCATTTTAATGGACGTTATATTCTTGAGTATTATTTAGCAATCAGGACCACCCATTGATACTTTAAAGACAAAGCCGACGTTGACCCAGGAGTTACGAATCTGCTACCATTATTTTAGGGTATTTTTTTGTCAGGGAAAAATCATCTCTCTCTCTCTGGGCGGGAGGGTCTGTCAGGCATAGCCTATAGATTAATGTACTCTGTGGTCAGACTCTTGTTCGACTAAAAACCCCCGTTCCTTCTCTTTCTCTGGGCCTAGGCCGCGGTGTCTCATTGCCTAGGTATTGATGAGTTTGGGGGGCGCTTTGGTAATATTCATGCCGAAGCATAACACGCTCTCTCCCATGTATCTCTTGTTATTTCATTTCAAAATCGTTCAAAAATATATAGTAGGACCTACATCGTTATTAATCATGATAATATTGTAGGTCAGCGGATTTACGTTCCCAATATTAGGATCTTGTCCTATCTGAAACTTTTCATCTACAAGATTGACAAGTTTTATTTTAATTGACAACTCCTCAAATTTAGGCAAGGCACCAAGTTAGGCATGAAACTATTCTATCATATATCATTAGATAAAAAATATACATTAGTAATTTACAAAAATAACTATAATTCCAGAAACACTTTTAGTTACTAATATAAAATTCGTTTATGTAGTTTACTATCTTATGTCACTGAGCACATCTCTATTCGAGAATGACGTATCGTATGATTGCAAATCATTTGACGTATTATTTTATTTATTAGTGATTTCAATCGAGTAAAAATTGTAATTCAAAGCTATATTGAAGAAATAAGAAGTGTATCATTGCAGTGATATTTGCCTTACGTGTTACAGTATTGTGTGAGTGTGTTTTTGTGCTAAGATATGGCGAAAACCAAAGTTACAGGAGCTACTAGCAGGCTGAAGCAAGATTACCTTAGGCTGAAAAATGACCCCGTTCCATATGTGACAGCAGAACCAGTGCCATCAAATATATTAGAATGGCATTATGTCGTCAAAGGTCCAGAAAAAAGTCCTTACGAGGGTGGCTACTACCATGGAAAAATCATATTTCCGAGGGAGTTCCCTTTCAAACCTCCATCTATTTACATGATTACACCAAATGGTCGGTTCAAGACGAATACACGACTGTGCCTTAGTATTACGGACTTCCATCCTGATACGTGGAACCCTGCGTGGTCAATATCTACAATACTCACTGGTTTGCTAAGCTTCATGTTAGAGAAAACTCCGACATTGGGATCTGTCGAAACATCAGATTTCCAGAAACGTTGCTTGGCGGCAGAGTCATTGGAGACAAATATTAAAAACAAAATGTTCTGTGAGCTGTTTCCGGATTATGTTCAGGAGATTGAACAGCAGCTTAAACTGCGGCAGGAGGCCATGCTGCATGCAGATACCACTGCTCCTAGCCCAGGTGAAGTGGTGACGGAGCAACAATCAAATATGTATTATATCTTGACCAATCTTTTTGTGTTGGTAGGCTTTGTATTTCTTGCATACATGGTAAAATATGTTTTAGTCTCCATATCCAATGATTAGTCATGCTGTATTATTAATGTAAATATTGTAATTTATTTTGTAAATACATATTATTCCATTAGAGGCAAATTTTGAAGTTATTAATTAATATGACATTGTGCTAAGCATACAGACTATTGATGTACCTTTACAATGCTTGTTTGTGTGACAAGACATTATTGATATACTCAATTGTAATTCAGAAATTGGAGCAAGCTGTAAGCTTAAAAATAATGGATTGTGTAAATCCCATGCATAGTTACCAGTTTTTAAAACGTAATGCATCATATTTCTCACAATATTAATTTCCACTCCAAAATGGAAAAGCATAGAAAGATCTCTTTTTGTCCAAAGTGCTATTTCACATTTTGCAACTTTGTTTAGTGTAAATTATATGTGTAACACTGTAGTGTAAAGAAAATAAATATTATAATTTATGATACATTATATTGGACAAGCACTTCATTGTTTAACTGCAAACATTGTATTCACACATTCATAGTTTTTAGACATTCTTTGTGATGAATAGCTAGGTAGTGTGTTTTAAATTAGAGAAAATAATGTAGTATAATGTGATATATACTTTTTCACTGTTGCAAGTATTCTCAGTCAAGATTGCAAATAGCTTTTAGTGTGAGAAACATTTGTCAAGTTATAAACTTACAAATAAATGTAGTAATCACAAAAGTTGTTTTGCTGCTCGTGTTTGACTGTCAATATTATTATTCCAAATAAAATGTGTTGAGTTGATTGAATACAAGTATTTTCTTGTGCTGCTATTTCTTCACAACTAGCACTTAATCATATTTAGAATTGAAATCATTAATCTTTCAATAATCAATATTGAGCCTACTGCTGCATTTAAATTGTGTTGTCCAAGTATGAATATTATTTTGGAAAATAAATCTGTTATTATATAGACAAAATCTGTTATTGTTTGTTTGATAGTGCTAATTTTAAGGTATGTTTCAGAATTTGGGTACTATTTGTTGTACATACTTATACTTTCATGTTACACAAATCCAACAAGGAATCAATTAATGTTATTTCTTATTAAAATGTGTAGATTACTTTAATTTTCATGGATATTATTTATATACAACCTGATAAAATAGTACTTAAATTAAATTCTATTTCTTCTAATATCACTTCAGTGAGCTGTTTCACATTACAAATTCTAAAGTCTCATTTACACAAATGTAAATGTACATTGCTCTTAAGTTTGTATTTGCTTGAGAAATGACTTGGCCCGATGCTGTAGTGTACTACATATGCACGCGCCCCGTCTCCGTGAATGAGGCCTAAAAGAATGTTTCAATAGAAAAAATAGAGCCCTATATTTGCCATGTAATGCTGCGCACATCATACAAATATGTGATTACAATCATTTGTGTCGATTTTAGCAACTGCTAATTGTTTAAAATCCAGTAAAATGGTATTTTTATATGAAATGTTGTTTTATTTATGAAAAAATAAATTAAAACTTTGTTTATGAACCCATGTATTTATTAACTTAAAAAGGTTTTCAGTATCATTTCCATAATTATACATTTAGTAATATAGAAAACATTTTACAATTACATAATATTATTGCCTATTATCTTGTATACAATGTATTATTGTTAGGATGGATATGGTTAATATTAAAGGGAATAAATACATTTCTATAAAATGTAATGTACCAGCACTTCCTGCCACATTAGTTTTTCAAGATATACCTTATTACAATAAATAGGTGTGTCCCAATCAAAATAACTAATATGTTTCGTACACATCTAGTGTATTCTTTTGATGATTTTTTTTATTAGAGTACATAGGTAAGGTATTACTCAGACACACCATATACACAAATTATTATCTGTTGCTTTATACATGATGCATGTAAATTATAGTATAAACTACTATTCTATACTAATAATTCTAATAGTACTACTTACAACTAAAATAATATTTAATTATAAAATATTGATGTAGCTAAAATGATAAATAATTTTATAATTAAAAATTTGAGAAAAAACACAATTGATCATGTCAGCTTAAGTCACATAATTTGAATGAGTATCTTATTATTCACTCCTTATCATCATCATCATCCCAGTCACTTACCAAGCTTCTAATATTATCATTTTTTGGGATGTCTTGTGGCTTATTGGTGTCTGTTTTTGGCAAAATATTTTCATGGGTAGTGTTGTCTGCAATGATATCCTCCTGTGAATCATTGTCTTCCCAATCATTCAGCAAAGATGACAACTTCTGTTGTACCTGAGGATTGGGTATAGGACCATGGACTGGTGAATCTATTAATGGTGGCAGTTGCATTTCCTGACTGGAAGAGTCTTCTTCTTGTGAGGAAACTGCACTTTCTTCTGTTTCAACATCTGGTGTTTCAATTTGAGGAGTTTGACTAGCCATTTGTTTTTGCATTTCTTGTTGAATGTTTTCTATTGATTCCTCCAATTCTGGTCCATCATCAATGAAAGGTATTTTCTGAGTATCCATTTTAGTTTTAGACATTTTATTACTATGATCTTGATCCTCTCTGACATCATATTCATCCTCTGACCATTCAAGTGCCAAATTTTGTATCTTTGATGCAGTTTCTTTAGGATTTATAGTTTGTTCTTGTGATGTATTGTTAATTTCTACTATATCGTCATATGCTTGTGATTCCATTAGTTCTTGAGGCTGTTGGTTATTTGGACTTTCAGTGTTCCCAGTTCTCTCATCTTCATTAGCAAGCTCTTGATATTCAGATGCACTTTGAGAACTTGTGTTATCCTGCAGAGTTGTTTGAATAGTGCTATTTTCAATAGAAGAAGATTGTTGTTCTAGAATGTTTTCACTTTCTACTGGCTGTTCAAGCATGTTTTTTAATTCGTCAGTTTGTTCCATAACATTCTCACCTTCAATGGCTTTTTCTAGTATGTTTGAAGGTACTCTGTGTTCAAGGACAGTTTCACCTTCTGCTGGTTGATCCTTCATATTTTCAGATCCTATTGTTTGTTCACCAACATTTGTACTCATTACTGGTTCTTCTATTTTACTTGCAATTGCTATTACTTGTGCTTGTTGACCTTGAATTTCAGTGTTTACTGGCATTTTTAATTCATTTGCTATGCAGCTATCCAGTTGTGGTTCCATTACAATATCTGCTTCAAGTGGTTGTTCAATGACATATTCTGTCTCAATAGCCTGTTCTCCTATATTTTCATTTTCTATTGGTTGTTCAACATTGTCTGTTGTCATTGATTGTTCTTGTACAACTTCTATGCCAATTGGTTGTTCAACTATACTTTCGGCCTCCATTGGCTGTTCAATTATATTTTCTGATACTGGTGGTACATCCATTGCATTCTCTAGTGGTTGTTCTAGCACATTTTGTATTTCCATTGGTTCTACTATATTATTTTGGTTGGTGTGGATGTCATTAGTCTCATTAGCAGTTATAGGCATATTGCTTGGTTCTCTGTTATTGCTTTGTTTATTATTAATTTGTTCAATTATTTCCTCTGGAGGATTTAAAGAAATTTCAGTCTCACCTGCAGCTGTATCTTTTTGTGGTTCAGATCCCATATGCACTTCTGGGAGTTCATCTAGATGATCAGTAGTTGCATTATGATCAGAATGTTCATGAGCGATTTGTATCTGTTGACTCTCTAAATTCTCTATATTATTTTGCCAGTTTTGTTCCACTCGATTCATTGCAGGAGTGGCAGTAGATACAGTTTCAAAGGTTTGTGTTAACATTCCAGAAGATTGTACAAACTGTGCTCCTATACCACCTGTGGTAAGTATTTGGTATTGCTTGTTCTGGTCATCATGACTATATACAACCACAATATTGTTATCAGTAGATACAGCTTCAGTAACATTCAATGGATATTCACTAGGAAGTATCATCATTTCACTTGATGAAGTATTATCCAAGTCAATTGTACTTGTCTCCATTCCTGTATTATGTTGTGTAGTTAATACAGTAAGTGTCTTTGTTGTGTCACCATTGTCAAATATAATGGGATGGTTTGAATTCATTAAAGCTTTGTACTCTTCTTCATTAGAAACCACAATTTGTATTGGTTGATTTAAATTTGCAGATTTCTTTATTATCATACTAGATTGTGGTTGAACACTCTCTTCAATTGTTGCATTTTCAACATTTGAATATTCTACAGATGTAGTTGGTAATACAGAATTTGGTTCAACTATATCTGATAGGATAAAGTCCTGGTTGAGGGTCTTTTTTCTTGGAATAAGTTGATTGTCTTTCATGATATATTCATCATTGTCTATTACAACAATCTCTTCACTAGAACCTTCAATAGGTAATTTTATATCTTGGAAGAAATCATTTTGAGATTGAGAGTTACTGCTGCTTTTACCAGGCTTAAGTTTTTGGTTAGATTTTGGTGTACTAAAGCCTGGATTTAAAATCTTTTGCCTTAGATTAGTGATAGGTTGTCTTCTAGGTGTAGAGTGTTTGTCACTTGTGGATGTTTGGTGACTAGGAAACTGTATATCCATCTCATCATAATCATTGTCATAGCTTGTACTAGCTTCATACTTAATACTTATTGATCTTGGCTTTTCATCTTCTTTTTCATCATCAGAAGACTCAATTATGCAGTCAGTCTTTGCTTCTTTTTTGTGATGTGTTTTAAGATGTGCATAAAGGTTTGCTTCACGTAGGAATACTTTCAAACAATAAACACACTGCAAATTATTTTTCCTTTCAGAACTGTACTTGTGACCAGTGTTTTGTATGTGTATAAGTAGCTGACTAGAAGATGAGAATGCAACTGAACAAACATTACAGCGGAAGTTTCTGATATCCTTATGGGTTAACTTATGCTTGACAAGTAAGCCCTCAGTAAGAGCAATATACGAGCACATGTTACACTTAGGGAAGTGATACTGTGGTGGGGGTGGAACAGCATGTTGAGCATAAAGATGGTGAAGCAAATAGTTCCTCTTTAAAGATCTAAGTCCACAATATTCACAGATGTTAGCAACAGGTTTTTCAT